AATTAAAACAATAGAGAATAGAAGAGGCAAAATGCTGGGCTACCTTATACGACATGACGATTTTTTAAAGAGCATAATAGAAGGAAAAATAAAGGGCAAAAGAGGAAGAGGAAGACCGAGGAATAACTACACGGTAAAAGAAAAACTAAAAACTGACTGATAAAAGAAACACTAGGTGTTATGTCGTATGGGGAGGTCAAGGATATGGCCTGGGATAGAACTGGCTGGAAGAAGATGCATGAATTAATTGCACCCACAACGAATCCAGGCAACTCTTAAATGAAAAGAAGTATGTACAGTAGGTAGGTCGATCTACACTAGAGCTACAAGCTTCGAATTAAATGCTAGTGCCTCCTTTCGTTTTGGAGCGGAATTAAAAAAAAATGCCAATAATGTAACCACTTATAAATATTTTATTACTATAGTATAGTAAACCGTGTTAGTGATTAACAGGACGGACGGAAGACGGTAATGTCAAAGGTCCCGTCCGGTCACACCATATCGTTTACACCTATGCAAATAATATGTAAGTATTATTCATGCATTGGATAGTTTTAATATAAAATAAAATAAACAATAATCTAATCATCATCATCATCATCATCATTTAAGCCATTATTCATCCACTGCTGGACATAAACCTCTCCTATAGACCGCCATAAAGAACGCTCCTGAACCACCTACATCCACTGACTCCCTGCTATGCATTACAGGTCGTCACTCCATCTAATGGGGGGGGCGTCTTACACTGCGTTTGCCCGTACGGGGTCGCCACTCAAGAATCTCTCTTTTCCATCGATTATCGGTTCTTCGAGGTATGTGACATTCATCTAATCATCATCATATCAGCTTTTAATTATCCACTGCTGAACATAAACCTCTTTGCCAGTAGTTGCCACACTTGGCAGGTGGATTGGCAACAGCAGTTAGGCTTTATAGATGTTTTTAGAGGTACGCTGCTGGCCATCCCTCGCCCTTTCTTAGTCGCCTCTTACGATACCCACGGAAAAGGAATAATGATAAAAAGAGGCCATAAATTCTGAATATGCTCAGCGAAATGTGATCACGTCGAGTGCTGCATTCACCATAACGGTGACGATAGACAAACGACTCTGATTACCCCATTAGGGATTAAGGTCGTGAGCATATTTTTTTAAATAAAATATGCAAAATAATAAAATACGCAAATAATAAATGTGCAATAATATTGTATTATGGGGGGAAAGGGATTGTTAGTAATAGAGACTGAGAATCCCATTGCTAGCAATATAACCAACCAGGTCGACCTCCTCGCGGTTCTCCCTGGAAACTATCACGGTTAATTCCTGATGACTTCATCATGATGGGCTAACTGGCCTGTTTTTTCATTCTCATCTATCACCGTTCACTGGTGCTCCGCTAGCGTATCCCGTTAGCGCAGGCGGGGTTACCATACTATTTTCACCCAATGAAAAAAAAAATATTGTATTATATTTAACGTTTGTTATATATATTATAATGCAATATACCGTTGGTGTTTCTATGAATTCCAAAAAGAGGAATGTTTTAATTTATGTATATTTTTTTAGGTCGCGCGCATTGTTTATCTTCACAATTGTGAAATAATTCTGATTATTCTTTTTGTAAATTAAAATTAATTGATTAATCATTATTATTATTATTTTTTAAAATATATTTCGAAACAATTTGAAAACGTGTCGTATTACTTCAAAATATACGGTTCGTAAATACAACTCTTGTCTATACGTGTTCGACTTAAAATTGACTGTTTTTAGTCCCACTAATGGGACTTAGGTTTCTTTATTACTATACAAAATAATAACAATAAACTCACCCGTCTCTGCTCGCGTAACACTCGGGACAAAGCAATGAAATAGTTATCAATGGCTTTTATACAATCGCTTATCGGCCCTATTTAGAGATGGATCAATACATTTATCTTGTTTGCCAATGTTTTTCAGCTATCCCTGTGAGAAATTATTGTTAGTAAATTTGAACATTAGTTAAATAAAACGTAGTAGTTAATCCTAACTGTTTAGTTGGGGGGAAAGGGATTGTATTTCTTTCAAATAAAGAATTTGATAAGGGTTTTTTTTGGTGGATGAAAATGGTATGGTAACCCCGCCTGCGCTAACGGGATACGCTGGCGGAGCACAAGTGCAGGGTGATAGATGAGAACGAAAACAGACCAGTTAGTCCATCATGATGAATTCATCAGGAATTAACCATGATAGTTTCCAGTGGGAACCGCGAGGAGGTCGACCTGGTTGGGTATATTGCTAGCAATGGGATCCTCAGTCTCCATTACTAACAATCCCTATCCCCCTTATGATAGGGGTAAGTTGTTAGTCAAAAACATTGGGAAGCATGGCTTGGTCGTTGAATGAACACGGAACTTTGAAAACAAGTAGATTTTTATGCATTAGTTAAAAATGTGATTAATTGGTTATTTGATTAGAATTATTTAATTCTTTTAGTTAACCTAGTTCAATAAAAAAGGTGGTTAATTCCAACTATAAACGGTTAGGGGGAGGAGGGGGGGGGGGGGGGTAAAGCATTGTTAGTAATGGATAACAGTCCCAATATACCTTGCCAGTTCGGCCTACACACGGTTCTTCCTGGAATCTCCATCGTGATTAATTCTTGTTGATTGCAATTTAATCAGAACATTATATCAGCTTTTAACTGTCCATTGCTAAATATAAGCCTCCCCCTGGGGGGGGGGGGGGTTGCTTGTAGTTACCACGTTTGGCAAGCGGATTGCCAACCGTAGTTAGGCTTTACAGATGTTTTAAGAGGAATGCTGCTGCCCATCCCTCCACCATATGCTCCCTTAGTCGCCTTTTACGACACCCACGGGAAAGGAAGGGGTGACCTATTCTACGCGGCGACTACACCGACAACATATCCTAAAAAAAAATCATAACCTTTTCGTGGTATAATTTTTATATGTACAATTTATAGGTCATCAAAAATTTCAAATGTCAAATGGTGGGTCCGTTTGAAATTTTTGATGTAATGCAGAAAACTTAGTACTTGCTATTTATACAAAATATAATAATTTTGAAATTTATATATACGTGTACAGGTCATTGTTATATCCAAAACACGGATTTCCATAAAAAAATATCGAACCCACGACCTCAGCCCCGGGACCAGCGATAAATATCACGATTAACTTACCTTTTAAATTAACCTGAACTATATTAACATAGTATATTAGAAAACATTAATATTAAGTACATCCTGTCATGTCAACAAAGGTCCTCTTTTAGAAATATAAACACAAAATTTATCTATGTTATAAGCAATTTAAAAAAGTTTTTTTTTTTTTACACGATTCTCGAAAATAAATACTGTTCGGAATAAATACGGAATGGTAATACTGATTTTAGGGTGCCGTGCCTCCAAAAGGAAAAAACGAAACCCTCATAGGATCACTTCGTAGTCCGTCCGTTTGTCCGCCAGTCAAGGCCTTTTTTATAGAAATTAAAGTCTATTTATTTGTTTGTTTGTTTACACTTTATTGTACACACTAGTAACATATGATTAATTAGTAATTAAGGTTAGTATGAAAGTAAATTAATGTAAATAAGAAAGAAGCAATAATTAAAAAAAAAAAAATTCTTAGGAACGCATGGAGGTATCAAGTTGAAATTAATATATTGTAATATACTCAGGCCTGCAATCTCTTAAAGCAGTGAAAAAATCTAACTTCTGAATCGACGCAATTAAAAGATACGGTACGTTTATGTTCCATTTATACTGCATATTTTAACATTCGCAATAGGAATCAAAACCTATAAGGTACTTCCTGTTTACTTAGAATCATTAAATTTGGTAAGAAGCAATACCATGTAGCACAAGTAAAGGAAAAAATCCGAAAACCGTAAATTTGTAATTATTTCACAAAAAAAAATTTAACTTGATGATTTTGTACGGGATCCTCGTGGCGCAAGTTCGACCCGCATTTGACCGGTTTTTTTTTAGTCATTCACTTTGCTTTTGTCCACAACTTTGTACACGTGGACTTCGGAAGTAGATAACATCTTTCAGATGGCATTTTTTTTAAGTTTTTAATAAGATCACACCAGATTTTAAACAGACCTTTATAAATACAACTCTAGAATCTTTGTCCCAATTTGGAACAAAGAAATTTAATAAAAAATATTGTTTCGACTTCTGATAACTACTTTTGTTAATAAATCACTCACATAAATTTTTGAAACAAAATAAACTTTTTTTATGCACCTTAGAATGGCAAACAAGCTGACGGCCCACCTCTTGGAAAGTGGTAACCGTCGCCTATAGACGTGAGCAGTACCATGGACATAACAGAGTATACTGTTTCGCCCATGATACTCCCCATGCGTTGCCATTTCTGAGGACTCAGAAAATAGTTTATTGGCTTAAAATGTAGTATACATAATTATTATTATATAGATTCTATACATTCTGTCTTATGTAATAAAATTTGTACAAAAGTCGATTGCTTGGGTACCTCTGTCCCACTCGTGTTTCTATCATGAAGCCGTTGTGTTTGAATAGCTGTGTTTCGGTTTAAAGGGTGGGATATGGCGTGATTTTACAGGGTACAGAGGAATAACATCTGAGTCCTCAGGAATGGCAACGCATGGGAAGTATCGTGGGCGAAACAGTATACTCTGTTATGTCTATGGTACTGTTCATGTCTATAAGGGACGGTTACCACTTTCCATCAGGTGGCCCGTCAGCTTGTTTGCCATTCTAAGTTGTATAAAAAAATATAAAATAAAAAAAAATATTTATTTATTCTATATTGATCACATGACAAAAAATGTTTGGTACACAGACGTACTTAATGCTATATAGCATTCTCTAATTATTGTATAAAATTGATCTATAAATGGCTAATATATGTTCCTTTGCTTTCAATTAAAATCTCAAAATTCTAAATATTTCATTCATTCACTCATTCAAGAGAACCAAACTTGTTTTTTAACATCTATGTAAACACTTACCTCTGACTGCAACGAAGTCTGCAAATCATCTGTTAACTTCTTCAACGATGCAATCTGAAACAAAATAGATTAAATAATTATAATTTATTAAACAAAAATATACAAATGCAATTACAAGATACATATATATTACATATTGTTTGAGATACACAGTAAGTGTATCTGACCTCCATGCTAGGAAAATCCTGTGTTACGAAGGTCAGGCTACTGTACTTTACATAATTAGATACCTTATATAAATTTAAGAATTTACAGAAAATATACAAATTGAGGTTAAACTGCAAATAAATTTACTAAATTTATTATAAATTTAAAATTAAAATAAAAAAAAAATTAAGCGTCCATTGAGCAATTAAAAGAATTAAAAGAGAAATCGTCGCAATTTATAGAATGTTATTATCATCTTAGCCATTATACGTCCACTGCTGAACATAGGCTTCCCCCATAGACTGCCATAAAGAACGGTCCTGAGCCACCTGCATCCACTGACTCCCTGCAATGCATTTGGGTCGTCACTCCATCTAGTGGGGAGTCGTCCTACACTGTGTTTGCCCGTACGGAATCTTCACTCAAGAACCTTTTTTCTTTATTTATTTATTAAATTTTAATACGCATAGAAAGTAGAAATGATGGACTTAACACCATATGGCGTTATCTACCAGTCGACCACCATACCATTTATTAATATCACTGCAAATTAGAAATCGATTTTTACTTGTATTAAAATAGTAAAACTTCTACCAGAGGGAGACTTTGTACAAAAGTCGATTGCTTGGGTACCTCTGCCCCATTCGTGTTTCTACCGTGAAGCAGTTGTGTTTTCATAGCTGTGTTTCGGTTTGAAGGGTGGGATATGGCGTGAATTTACAGGGTACAGAGGAATAACACCTGAGTCCTCAGGAATGGCAACGCAAGGGGGGTATCATGGGCTAAACAGTATACTCTGTTATGGCCACGGAACTGCTCATGTCTATAGGCAACGGTTACCACTTTCCATCAGGTGGGCCCGTCAGCTTGTTTTCCATTCTAAGTTGTATAAAAAAAAAAGTTCTCTTCCGGCAAATCCTGAATGGAAAGGAGGGTTAATTATCATCGGACAGTGTGCGTACAATAATAGGAGGAAACAATACAATTGTTTTTATTGAGAAATAATAAATATGTTGACATTTATGGTATATTATTAAAAAATAATATTATCACAAAAAAAAAACAGACGAATTGAGACCTTAAAAACTGAAAACCCATGGTGTATATTGGCGGTGAAATTGTAATTCTTTGTTTGTTACATCGTATCACCTTAAAAGTTTAATCAACCATCATAATGTTTGGGATGAAGAAACAAATAGATTTCATCCCGACTGAATTTTGGCCACAACAGAAAATTTGTGTTTTGCCCTTTTTAAGTTTTAATATACATATATAGCAATATAGTTGTGGCCATTTTGTTATTGTAGACATACGAAACAAGTCTATGTTACTTTTAAAAAATACTTTTCTTTTTTGCATTTTTTTTTCTCTTTTTGTGCATGACCACCTGTTATTATGACACACATCATCATCATCATCATCATCATACCAGCTTTTAACTGTCCACTGCTAAGCACAGGCCTCCCTTATAAGAATTTGCCAGTAGTTGCCATGCTTGGTAGGCAGGTTAGCAAACGCAGTTAGGCTTTTGTAATGTATTAAGAGGAACTCTGCTGGTCATCACTCGATTATGAAGTGTCGTTAGTCGTCTGTTATAACACCCACGGGAAAGGAAGGTGGCTCATTCTATGCCGAGACAGACATAAAATCTATCTATTTAACATACACAAAAAATATGGTCGAATTGGAAACCTCTTCTTTCCTTAATGTCGGTTAAAAATCGTCCAAGTACATTCAAGACTAGTGACAACACATCAACACTTGTATTATAGTCTACATATTTCTTTTTATCCAAATTCATAAAATGTTGCAAATAAAAAAAAATCACATAATTTATTGTTTGAATAATATTACATAGTCAAAAAAATTATGTTACTGTAGTTTTGTTTTTAAAAAAGAATAAGGGTGATATAGTAATTTTAATTATTAAATATTTATATATGCAATCTCTAAAGATCCTCTCTATTAATCTAAATCGTTAGTTGTTGAAGAAATATTGAAAATAATTTATCAAGTCTCATTCACGTTGCACATTTATTTATTAGCCGTTGGCTGAATAATGACTTGTCATCGATAGACTTTAAAAAAAATAACGCACCAATAGCGTGGTGGAGTTTTAAATTTCAAATTTCGAATCGATTTAAATGCGCGCTGCCAATAGGTCAGAGTGAAATGTATTCGCATTGTAAGTGGTTGTTACGTTGTTTTGTTTTTATGTAAAAAAGTTTCGTACGTGGACGAGACCGGGAATTATTCAGCTATAAGTTTCACAACAATAATCAACATTTTTTTTTTTTATAATACACAATAAAAGTTAACTCATTATGCAAGTCAATATTTCTTTTTATTAATATTTCCTTATTATTTTACTAACGAATGATGGAAAAGCCTTTGTTGTCTTTCCCGGAGAAAGCAAATTATTAGACAAATCTGCCTATACAATGTTGATAACAAAATAGCGCTCCCCTCCCCATTACATTACGATATTTATTTAAACTTTAATGCACAGTAAAATTCTATGTATATTTGGCGGACTTAACACCGGACGGTGTTCTCTACCAGTCAACCATTGGGTAAACCGAGAAAAAAAATTATTAGTATTTCTTGTTGGAGTTTTAATACTGGCTGTTGACACTGTGGTTTTTTAGAACAATGTATTTTTTTGGTTTGTTCTGTCAGATTTTTATAAGACATGTCTTGTATTTTTTTCACTAAACTTATTATTTTATATCTCAAATAAACATATATGTTTTATTACTGCATTCTGCTATTTACAACATTTCTTCACTATATTATGCATGTATTATAGATATAAACCTTCCTCTTCATTCAGTCTATCTATTAAAAAAACCGCATCAAAATCTGTTGCGTAGTTTTTAAGATCTAAATATATATCGGGACAGGCAGACGGGAATCGACTTTGTTTTACACTATCTAGTGACTAGTGAAGTGATAAAATAAAAGTGAGTTTGTTTATTACCTCTTGTTGCTTTACCTGCTTAAGCAATAGTTTTTTTTTTTTTTTTTGATGGGTGAAAATGGTATAGTAACCCTGCCTGCGCTAACGGGATACGCTGGCGGAGCACCAGTGAAGGGTGATAGATGAGAATGAAAACAGGCCAGTTAGCCCATCATGATGAATTCATCAGGAATTAACCATGATAGTTTCCAGGGGGAACCGCGTGGAGATCGACCTAATAGGGTATATTGATAGCAATGGGATTATCAGTCTACTAACAATCCCTTTCCCCCGCTTAAGCAATAGTTATAAAATTTGGTGAGCACGTAATTGTATGGGATCGTGAAGGGCATAGGCTACTTTTCATCCGGGTCAGTGAACATGCCCCGGCCACGCAAATGAAGTTGCGGGCAAAAGCTAGTAAACTATTTATTAATTTCGACAATTCTATCTACCCGGCGAATTTGGGCCAGTTATATTTATTCACAAAATAAATCGATCGACTGTAATTAAATTGGTCATTTTAGCCTCCCAAACCGATCATATTGCGAAGCACCACGAACACGTACGTTCTTACAAAAAGCCCTTATCGCCTGATAACGTAGTTCAAACAGTTACGATATCTACCCCATGCGGTCAACTCCCCTCTGGAGAATATTCTCTGGCACATTGAACCTTATGCCCTATATACATAGAGATGGTGTTATATATTACTTTAATAATTATTTATTTCAAGTGCAGATAGAAAACAGAGGGCGTATAAATTTAGGCCATATGCATAGGTACAACGTCTAAACTATTGTTTTGGTAATGTGCGAGAATATAAGTGAACTGTATGCACGACACGTTTTGAAAATAGATCCGAGAATGCGGAAACGACAAATTGTTATAAAAGTACTAGTAAACTACTAGATTCAAACTAAGTTCAGAAGAGACTTTGTACAAAAGTCGATTGCTTAGCTGAGATTTGAATCGATCGATTGCTTAGAAACACGAATGGGATAGAGGTACCCCTCGGTCCCATTCGTGTTGCAACCGTAAAGCAGTTGTGTTTGCATGGCTGTGTTTCGGTTTGAAGGCTGGGATATGGCGTGAATTTACAGGGTACAGAGGAATAACACCTGAGTCCTCAGGAATGGCAACGCATACGGGGTATCATGGGCCAAACAGTATACTCTGTTATGTCCATGCTATTGCTTATATCTATAAGCGACGGTTACCACTTTCCATCAGGTGGGCCGTCAGCTTGGTTGCCATTCTAAGTTGTATAAAAAAAATGCTGATTTTGATTTTGTTGTCAACCCACCTGCCAAGCATGGCAACTACTCTCAAAACCTCCTTTATGTGGGAGGCTTATGTTCAGCAGTGGACAGTTAATGATATGATGATGATGAAATACTAATTAAAAAATAATGTCATATTTTTTTTTTATTTTTGAATGTATATTTCTTCAGTATTACACAAAAACTACAAACGAGCTGTCAGTTTGTTTGCCATTCGAATTTTATAAAAAAAAAATTAATGTGAGTTCAATATGATAATCTCCAGAACTACTGTTGCATATAAACACTAGCAAATGAGGAATGTTTCCTGTCAAACGCCAGGCAGATCAAGGAAGCAGTTGGTGTTGTGTCATATCAAGAGGTGAAGAGACTCGCTGAAAATCATAGTGAGTGGCAAGAGCTCCACCGACAAGAGTGCAGCTCTTAAATAGGATAGATAGATTAGAATACAACTTGACAGAGGTACACCTACCTGTGCCATTAACATTAATGTGATATTTTCATCACTATAATGAGTTAGATGGAAAATTAAAATAAATTAAAAACAAACCTTTTTTTCATTCAAATTTTTATTGAGGCTTCAGTACACTTGGGTGACTATTCTAGCCTCTCGGGGAATATCTGCATGTTTTTTCATGGGTGAAAATGGTATAGTAACCCCGCCTGCGCTAACGGGATATGCTGGCAGAGCACCAGTGAAGGGTGATCAGTGAGAATGAAAACAGGCCAGTTAGCACAACATGATGAATTCATCAGGAATTAACCATGATAGTTTCCAGAGAGATTCGCGAGGAGGTCGACCTGGTTTATTTATTTGTTGATAACACTTTATTGAACAAAGTCTTAAATTATGGGATACAGAGTTTTTAAGAAAAGAATGAGTACAATGGTTTATCAGATCAGCTAGTCAGGTGCACCTTTACAGTACCCTTACTGTTTTTATGTTTGTTACCTCATAACTCTATCAGATGTAATCCGATTAGCAAATTTTTTTTATCTAAAAGTATTTACTTACAGATTAATCCCATAGACATTTTATGAAAATTAATTCAGTAGTTTAGTTTTTTTTTTTAATCAAAATAACAGGTTTTACAATAATTAAAGTTAGTTTTTTTAGAACAAAATCTTAATTAATAATAATAATATTTATTTATTTCATAATTTTTTGAGCACAATGAAACACTCATTTATTGAATGAATTATTAATATTATATTAATAAGAAAAAATAAATCCAATGGAAATGAAGCAATGTGTATAATAAAGACATACTACATACAATCTATACAAATAAAAGTGTGGGACAAATTTATAAAATTAAGAGTAAAAAATAAACATTCAAATCAATATTTTAGTATGTTTTTTTAATGGTTGATAATGGGGTAGGTAACCCCACCTGCGCTATTGATACATGCTTGTGAGGTACCAGCGAGTGATGCAAGATGAAAATAAATCCAGGTCACTTCACCTCAGGTTCAATGTGGTGAAGTCAATAGGAATTAAACATGATGATCGACATGCAAAAGATAATCTGACAGAGTTTATAGCTAACAATGGGGATGTCAGTCCTCATTACAAACAATCCCTTCCTTCCCATATATTCCCATGTATGTAAAAAAATCCAAATATATTCCTAATAATTCTTAATTATTCCAATTTATATAAAACAGTGTAACTAGCCTGTATTCAGTGGCATAACTATACCATTTAGGGCCTGTGGCAAATTCTTTTGATGGGGCCCTATCATTTATTTTTAAATAAAATAAAATACTCAGTTACAAGGAGAAAAAACTGAGCTCGAGCCAGGGCCCTATTGGGTCGGGGGCCAGTGGCATTTCGCCAGTAGCAGTAGCAGTTCCATTAGTGACATTTAGAAAAATTAATAATATATATATATATATATATATATATATATATATATATATATATATATATATATATATATATATATATATATATAGTATTTTAGAAAATATTTATTAGTAGCTGTGGATATTATTCTAATCTATATAAAAATTATAAACATATGTATCTAAAGAGGTATGTTTTCTTTCTTATGAGGTAAATAAAGAGAAAAGATGTAAATTACTTCATCGATTCTTATAGACGTATTATTTTTTAAATTATAAAATAAACAGACAAAAAGAGAGATATGACAAAATAAACATTTTAGTGAATTGTGTTTTATAATAAAAAAAATAAAGATTACGAAATATGGTCTAAGTACATTTTATTATTTACGTAAACACTGCTGTCAAATTTTGACAGTTGTTTTATAGGTTATGTTTTTATTGTAAAAAATAACAATTTTCAGCAGTTATCGTACCTCGAGCTCCTGGAGGCGGCATTTTTCTTCAAGTTCTTTTATTAAGCTATCATCTCTTGCTATTGCAACATCAGAATCCTCAGCTGGAGCTTCAGATAGAACTTCAGAAGCAAAAGTCGTAATTTGTCCTTTCAAGTTGTTTAAACTCTGATTAAGGTTTAACCACGACATTCTGTGCACTCATATCACAATTGTAAAATCAAAGCATTTATTTTGTAACGTAGCAAACGTAAACAATAAGAAAATTGCATTATTTTGCAAAATGACAAAATTATGTCCAGTTGGCAAAATACTAATAGATTAACGGAAACGTCACTGTAAAGAAATTATGATTGTACAATATCTGTACAAACAATTTTGTGCATTATTGAGGACATCCTATTTAATTTGGTACCCAAAAAATTATTTCTTTCAATAAATTTTGTAAATAGATTATGAAAAGATTGTAAAAATAAATTTGTGAAAAATTATGATAAAACTTTTACGTATCATAAATATACGTGTATTAAATGTTATGTAAATAAATATATACGTTTACTAAGATACTGTACTTTGGCATAAGGCAATAATTATTTTGTCATCTATAAAAAAGATTTACAATTAAATAAGTAAGGCAGCACACCTGCAATGCAGGTTGTGGGTGAGCATGGGCGGCGGTAATCACTTACTATCAGGTGAGCAGCATACTCGTTTCCCCCTGTGTGTAAAAAAAAGTAATAGTGTATAAATTGCTTTAAATATCATTATATATATACAATATGTAAATACAACTACAACGCTATGAATAATAATTTATTGCATTATTTGGATGATTAAATGGTTGCATGGCATCACATTTCAATTTCGTAATTATAAATGTAGTGGTGACTTTTAAAATGTAGTATCCTTCAATACTAAAACATTGACAGCTAAGATTGCCAGAAAAATTCCAATTGAATTTTTTAATTTATAAATGTTTCTGTTTGGATAAATTTAATTCTAAATTGATTTAAATATTTTTTGCCGTTTTTTTTTTTCGATAAAACTACAATTTGTCTTACAGACGTAGTACAACGTAATCTAAGATATGACCACAATTCAATCTGTCTTGTCTTTATAATTAAGTTTCCTATTTGAGTAAGACATATGAATAAAGTCATTTTTAAGTGTAGTTTTTAGAAATAGGAAAACAAACCAAATTTAGTGCATAAGTTTTTGCGTGGTGCTGGAACAAACATACAGACAAACAAGAATCCACTGTCAGAATCAATACAATCCGTTTACACCAAACCAGCTTTGAGAGCCAAAAATTTAAGCTTAGTCCCTTGAGGAACTAGTCTACAATATCAATTCTCCTCCCAATTGTAGACAAGTGATAAGAGCTAGATGATTAAATGGCAAATCTCATAAACCAGATAACTAGGTCACTTGGATCCCCACATCTTTAGTTATTTTGACATTCGAAGGTTAGGTCCTCCCAGAAAAATCTATTATTTTAATACCTGTTTTGATGTATAGGTTACCTCTTATCCAATGCAGAAACTGTTGTAGGTTTGGCCATTGTCCCACTTAGTGTTGATTTAAAGTTAGATGTTATCATTATGGTGTTTAAGATATAGATGATGTATGTCATAAAATAAAGGAATAACCAACTTGTATACTTCATGATAGTGTTAATCATGCAGCTATAGATATAAAAATATGTATGTATCTGTCCGATTCCCTTTCATAAAGCGGTTATATGCTGATGTGAGATCAACGATCATATCATAAAACATTCTTTATTACTCCCCGACTATCCCCTATCCTGGGCAAATTATTTGACATATCTACATATAATAATATTACCCCGACTCCCAGATCCTCTCAACATAATAGTTGCGCTTTTGCAGACCGATCTGGTAAAAAATACTTGGATATAATTAAATGTCTTTTTATCTGGTATAGTCCCTGAATCTTGGTAACTCTAAATTATAGTTTACATCTTGAAACCCCAAAATGATCCTAATGATCCAAATTCTTATGGACCTGACCTAAATTGTCGTGCTTTCGGCCTTGGAAAAAATTCTAGAAACTCTCATTAAAACTAAACTCGCATTTTAGCAAGTAAAAGTTTATTATTATTAGCCAGAAACTAATTTAGATTTAGATGTGGCATGGGTACTATAGGTAGCATTGATAGTAAGGTAGTTCTATTTGAGAATGAGAAAAGATAATTACAAGTTGCCCCATGAAATGGAAAGATTTGTGAAGGTGGCGCCACATTATTATGACTTGTGTAATATCAAATATAGTAGTTAAAAGTTTGTTGTTAATGAATAACTTTAAAAAGTTTCATAATAGTGAAAAAAAAAAAATAGGTTTACTTTATTTTCCTGTCTTTAATGATAGGCTATATAAAATGGAGAACAGAAAGCGATAAAATTTTAAATACGTATATTATGTAAAAAATGTTACAATAAGCAAAATGCATCATCAATAAGACACAGATAAGTAGGTCGTATATCCATAACTCATATTCCTAACAGACTAAAAGACGAATTAATAAAAACGCCAAATGTTTTTATTATAAACCTATTTTAGTTGTTAAAACGTTTTGTCTTTTTCTTTTCCTTTGAATTTCCAGTTTGAAATAAAGTGACTTATTCAAGTGGTTGTGAAATTTATTCATTTTATAGCGCATATATATTATGTATATAACAAATTGATTGTCTTCAAAATTCCAATCTTTTATCTTACTATTTTGCATTTTTTTTACTAAATATTAGATTTAGTGATCTATTATAGATAAGTATATATACGACACACCGATACATTGTTTTTTGTTTTTAAACAAATTGATTCTTCAAACGTTGACTTCCCTAGCATTGTGGCACTAGAGTGATGGGGATGACCGCCATTGCTGTTTTCATTCTGATTTACTCTATACACGTCCATAATATTTATTTTGAAGTTTTGCGCGGAAATTATTTTATATATCTATCCATTCTATTATATTTTCAATCCACTTGATTTCTAAGAAGTTGTTTATTTTTATTCTTATAATATTCAAATATTGAATTTTGTGTGTAAAATCACATAAGCGCAAGATAACCTTAAAACATGAATCAAGACGAATTATCGGAATTCCTAATTACAAAAGAGATTAAGAAATTACATTCGGAACAAGAGTTGGAAAATAAAGAACCGGAAGAGACATTAAAAAGAGAACCATTGACTGCAAAAAATGCTGTAAAATTTCTGTTAGATGGGACTCTTAGGAAAAAAATATGCAGATATTGTTTGAATATTGCGTCTTCTCTCTATGAATTGGACCAAGTATTTCAAATAGGAAGCCGAGACATAATATACAAGGTCACTGTTAGAGACATGATTGCAAGCTTTCATCCTTTTAAGGTTTGTTTGAAGTTTTCATTATGTATTATTACAGAATTATGTATTAAGAAGTATGTCTAGTGATAAAGTAATGATACAAATCTAGAATCTTTTAGGAGGCTATTAAAGGAATAAGGTACAAAATATTTTGATTGCAATCATGTTACATTCTTTTTATGTTCTTTGCTATAATAAATATATGTACACTAATGCCATTCTGAGTAGTATAAAACATTATATGCCATTAATTATAATCCCTGTTCTGCTACTTATGTTAGCATTTGTCAACTTACAATTGCTTGTATGTAAGTCACAAATATTTTTGATAAATGAACTTCAAAAATAATATTTTTGAAGGGTTTTGTAAAAAGTGATTTTATTATTTGTTACTAGTTTTTTTACTGTAAATAAATATTGTCCATGTGACAGATTATTATAATATATTGATTGTGATAAAAAGCTGATTCATTCGTCATACATACATATCTGTCACGCCTGTCTCCCATTAGGGTAGGCAGAAACAATGGAACGCCAAATGCTTCGATTCAAACAAACCTCTTTCGCTTCTTCCACATTCATCAATCTTTTCATACACGCTCGTCGGTTACGGGTACTTTTTATTTGGCCCTCCTTAAGTAAAATGTAAAGTAATTCATCATCTTAATTTGATAATGATCTTAAGTTTCTTAATTTGATACCCCTTGACACATTTTACTTAAAAATGTGTCAAGGGGTATCAAATTAAGAAACTACCTTTCACATGTATTAATAAAATGTTTGTCTAAAATAATGATTTCTCTCTTATTACAGGTTGCAGATGATCCAAACTTTCCAAGTAGAATTTGTGATAAATGCTTAAATCGCACATTTAGTTCTTATTTATTCACACAACAATGTGAGCAGTCTGAACGAGCTTTACGTAACTGTTTTGATGATATATATGACAAATTAAATAAGCTGGACCCTATAGAACGTACCAAGAAAAGGGGCAGACAGAAATTGAATCCAAATTATAATATATTATATACAGAACATGAAAAAGTTATTGATTATGCTGATCCTATAATAAATATTGTAAACATTGGATCTTCAGTAAATAATACAAGCAATGAGTATATTGAACTCCAATGTCCACGGTGCTGGCAAGTATTACCGAACATAGAATCCTTATTAAACCATGAGAAACTACATCCAAAATCAATGTGGTACAATTGCCATATATGTGGCAAATCTTTTGTTAAACAAAACCATTTGAAAAAGCATGTACGAAACATTCATGCATCAGGTAAAGAATTGGTATTACCTAATAGTGGGTTTAAATGTACTAATTGTGGTATTAGCAGTGACAGTTACCATCAACATTTGCAACATATTGAAAAACATAAATTTCAAACTGTTATGAAGCATTTAGTTGAAAGAAATATGGACAAGCTGTGTGCTATATGTTTGAATAAAGGTACCCGCTTAATAGAATTAGATAAAACTGTCAGTTTACATGGAGGCCATCCTGAATTAACTGGTGACAGGACTATTTATAGCATTCTGGGTTCGACTTTGCCTGAAGTAAGTATTATTTTTTATTAATATTTTTTTATATATTGATTCTTTACATTTTTTTATGAGGTTCCTAATATACCAATATGAAATTTCTAGGCATAAATTGAATTAGTTATTTTGTACATGAGTATATTTTTTTATAAATATTTGATAAATTCAAACGTATAACAAAAAATTGTCTTGGAAATGTGTTTTATAAATGAAGATTTAACTCCATCTTGTTAATTTTAAAAAGCTTTATGCTGTATTAGGGTTTCTTTACTCCACTGATACTAAATCAAGACTTTTGTATCTATTCAAAAAATGTGACCTATTTTGGCTTACATTGTTAATCATTTTCTAGCGAAAGTCATACAAATATCAAGAATTGCTTGTAGCGAACAAAGCCAAGATAGTGACATTAGTAAAAAAATTAACACTCCACAATTATGCTGTAGCAGAGCAAGAAAGAGAAATGAAAACAATGAATAAAATCTTTCCTTTATCTCATCCAATAATAATTTCTATATTGTCATCTGTAGTAAGAGACAATACCTTGTACTTATTTTCAAAACCCCAATTATCTGAAGAAGAAAATATAGAAATAGAGTTAAATTATCAAAACAATGGAATTATACCTTCAGTGGAAAGTCCATGCAGTAGCAATATACTTAATGTTATTGAAAATTCTATTTGTGAAACTGAAAAATCAAATATTAATAAAGAAGAAAACTTAATAGCTCAATCTTCAAAATTAAAAAAAAATAAACATATATCTTTCTCGAAACTATACCATTTAAATGATACTGATGATAAGCCAATCAGTGTAGCAGATGGCAATGCAAATGAAAATAATAGAAATAGTAAAATTATTGCTGTTCAAGAACCGTGCAAGTTTTGTTGGTTATTTATAAATACAAAAAAATGTGAATACTGTAAAAAATCTAACATTATTAATTCTATTGAAAGGAATAATGACCTTGACCAGAATAAAATGGCTTACGCCAATTATAACGCTCTCACTATTCAAGTTAATCCAAATTTGAATTCTTGTGTCGATGCAGTTAAAGATGATAAAAATATTTATAATGCTGAGTCTGTTAAAGATTCATGCAAATTTTGTTGGCTATTCAAAAATGTGGAAAAATGTGAATACTGCAAAAAATCCAATGATATGAATATTGATTGTACTGAAAAGGACAGTGATTCTCATCTGATTGAAATAAAGGGCAATAATCATGTTGTAACCAATCAAGCTAAACAACCAATTAAAAGGAAAATTGATAATGATATAAATGTAGAACTCATGATATCAAAATGGAAATGCAATGTCTGCTTGACAGACAATACTAATAGACAGACATGCTTTTGCTGCGATTCCCAAAACTATAATTGCAACCAATATATTAAAGTTAATTTGAAAGCTAATGAAAGTTGCTTCTCTGTACCAAGTAATATCAATCAAAACATCATTGAAAACTCAGTTACACCAGCCATAAATACTAATGCAGAAGTCACTTTTAACTCTATAACTCAAGAGACTTACATCAGTACAATTAAAACAGATAATGATTATACAGAAATGGAAACATGTGAAAACATAGATTACTTCATTGTCACTGCTAGTAATGAATCAGAATATATTAACAAACCTAAAGATATTCATCATAATCAAGAAGAAATGGATGTTGTAATAGAAGAACTAAGTGATCAATCCACATCTGCCATTTGCAACATACAAAATTTCAATCGGATTCCTTCTACAATTTCATATCCATCAACACCATCTTTTCAGTTCCAAATTGGAACAGGATCGTCTAAAAATGAAGGAAAGCCAAGAAGATTTATGAAGCCACTGAGAAGAATGGCAAATATGTGTTATAAGTAAAACGCCATTGATTGTTATTATATACTCATCACTGGTCTTTAACTTATGTGTGTTGCCAGTGATGACTTATGGAATCGAAATATGGTCCTACACAATTGTCCGTATGCAAAAGTTTCAAATTATTCACCAGGCTATGGAAAGTGTTATGCTCGAAGTTTCTTTGCGAGATATAATCCAAAATGAAGATATCCGCAAAAGTAACCAACATAGCCTGAAGAATTAGCAAGCTAAAGTAGCAATGGGCTGGTCACATGGCTTGAGGAACCGAAAACCGATAAAGACGAAAGGTTGTTGAGTGGCGACACAGTATAAGACGAACTCCCACTAGATGGAGTGATGACTTCAAATACATGGCAGGGAGTCAGTAGATGCAAGTGGTTCGGGACCATTCTTTATGGCAATCTATGAGGGAGGCTTATGTCCAGCAGTGGATGGATAATGGTTAAAATGATGATAATGTTATAATAGTGTTGAAAATTAATTTAGTTAATTAGTTATTTTCAATAACAAAATGTAGGTTATTGAGGAACTCAAATTTAGAGTAGTTAAAAACATTAAATTGTCATTAACTTGACCTTGATATGTGAAATATTTTACACTTTATGGCAAACAATTGCAATTTTAGAAATTTAAGTATTTGCGTGTATAACCCTTAAGCAAGTTGCTGTAAAGTTATATGTAACATTTGTACTCAAGAGTGTTAAATACTGGTATTCTCTATTTGTTTTGTTTATATTTATGGTCTCGGCTCTGTTTATTATCTTTTACCACTTCAAATAAAGATGTTATTATCGATATAATAATAAAATGAGTGTATAATTGTATTCATACATAAATTCTTTTGGTAACGCCAATAATAACACTACAGTGCAAAAATAAAAATTTGCATGCCAATGTCGGCCAAACATGTTAGAACTACAATTTAATAAATTACCCAGTACTGTAGCTACTGCACACACATTTAGCCAAACAAATTGATCTTTAAGAAGTATAACTGAAACCATTGTGTAAGTTGATTAATATAATTTCAGCATCATTCACCTTTTTTTCTCTATCCTTCGCTTTTTACACTTTTATTTTAAATGGATTTTATTTTTTGTTGCAGATGAATGTCCTAAACAACTATACAGGGTCAAAAATATGCGAAAACTGCTTAAGTAATGCAATAACGTCATACATTTTCTTGAATCAAACTTATTATATTAGAAATAGACTTAATACTTGTATTGATTTAATGTTGAGCAATTTAAAACAAATTGTCCAACCAGAAGGTAACATATTTATTGAGATTGCGCAAAATACTATTATGCCACCGAAGGAATGTGATTATATTGATGAAGATTTGTTGATTGATGAGAATGATGAATTTGATGAAGATAAACTCAAAATAGAAGTTTTAGAAGACGAGTTTAGAATAAAATCTGATAGTGAGGAGAGTGATAATGAAAGTAGAAAAGGCAGAAAGAAAGGATCTTTTAATGATAATAGAGCAAAAGTTGAAAATAATAATATAAACATATTGGAAACAGAAGAAATGGATAAGGAACATGTAGTTAAAGTTGAGTCAGTGACTCAAGTGAATTGTAAACAATCAGATGAAAAAAATAAAATGTCTCCAGACCATTACAATAACATTAAAGATAATATAGAAATAAATGACAATTATGTAGATATAATTGATAATCCTGCTAAGAGAGCGACCAAAACTTATATGAAAAGAAAATTTCTCAATGGCTATCAATCCACATTTGCTTCTAACGAGAGAGATAAATGTGAAATAAAGAAAGTGTGCAGTGAATTTTTAACGTTCAAGAAGAAGAAACCAATTAGGAAATATTACAATTATAAATTTACATGTCCACTATGTTGTAAACATTTTGTTTCTGAATATTTCCTAGTACGGCATGTATTGAAACACGTGAATAAGAAAGTGGAATGCAAGATTTGTTTGAAGGAGTTCAAATCGAAATTCTATTTGTATGAGCATACAAAAATGGTGCATTTGTTACAAATGAAAAGTTTTTGGTCGTGCAAAATTTGTGGTCGATGTTTCCTTTATAAAAATAAATTGGTCAACCACAAACGGATGCATAAAAACATTGAGTGTCATATGTGTGATAAATTGTTCTCGAAACAGAAGTATTATGATAGTCACATGCAACGGCATGCAAATAAACTTAATGTGCTAAATAAACATGTTCAAACATGTAGTTTTTGTGAAAAGGAATGTTCGAACGATAATAGTCTATCGGTACACGTAAATAAAGTGCATTTACAGATAAAACCGTACAGCTGTGATATGTGTAGCAAACAATTTTATACAGAGAGAAATTTGAATTGCCATAAACGGGTGCACAGTTTGTTTTCGAAGGAGACATGCCAGTTTTGCAGTAAAACATTGGATTCTAGAAAGTCCTTGGTGATACACGTGCGGAAACATATTGGTGTGAAACCGTACAGTTGTCAAATATGCAGCCATTCGTTTTATTCTCTGACCAAAATGAGAACTCACATGAGAAACTTGCACGGTGGTAAATTTTGCTGTAAACTGTGCAAGAATGTTTTTGTCTATAAATCTGAATTAAAAAATCATGTCAATGAAGTGCATAATATGATTTAACAAATACAACTAAATAGTAAGGTAAAAAGTGTGATGAAAGGTTCTTGAGTAGTGGCCCTGTGTAGGCAAACACAGTGTAGGATGACCCCCCTACTAGATGGAGTGACAACCTTAAATGCATTGTAAAGAGTCAGTGATGTAGGTGGCTCGGGGCCATTCCTTATAGCAGTCTATGAGGAGGCCTGTATTCAGCAGTAAACTGATTTGAAGGAATTTAAACGTTGTCATTAACTTTTTGACAGTTTAAGTCAAATTGGCAAGTTTACAAGTTTTTTTTTTTAATAAATATTTCAGATTTTTTTTCTATATTCTGTTTAAGTTAGTAAATGATTCTATTAATTAATGAATACATGGTTAATGTTAACTAAATCTCGCTGTTGCTAATTAAAGAGGTTAAATTATTTTTTTTTAAATTCAACTTAAATTTCAACCAAGTTAGTATGACATCGTCATAAATTTAAACTCACAATTATAAAAAGAATCATTAGATTAACTATACTATATGTATTTAAAAAAATGTAAAGAGTTTCGTGTCTCCAGTACAACTGCTTACAATTACTCTTCTCCATCCAAAGGTTGTCTGGAAGAGATCGCTCTTAGCTATAAGGCCGCCTATTGTTTTTTCAGTGTTTTATTTTTTTGTAATTATTTGTATTTATAATAAGTTTACAATTGTAATTTTATGGAGGTAACAAAGAGTCTATCTATCTATTAATTTATCTATACTTAATACTTTTTAAACACTTGAGGCTCTATGGCGAAGCTTACCAATTTCAATTAGGTGGGTCATCAGCTTGTTTGCCATTCTAAATTGCTTAAAAAAACTATGATTGATTAATAATTTCTGCATCACAATTCGTTATGGATAAAGCATTTATTAAATATTAAGTGAATAATTGCTTTTTACTTTATTTGTATTTCCATAATTTATAAATTTGTAAATAACGTTTACTATGAAATATATTCCAAGAAATATATTATGCTGTAAATTTATTGGTTAATTTTTTTCTTTTTACCCATTTGTAACATTTCTAGTTAAAGGAAGTGACGACCTTAACACGTTGAGCGCCATGTCAGCCATCGGTGGCTGACACTAAACTTTCCGTTTAGGCCGCGTCAGCCATCGGTGTCTGACAGCGTGTAACATGCGAACTATAAAATTTTACACTATTTTACGGAATAACAGAAAATTTATTTATAATTTACTTTAATTAAATTAAATTGAATTTATTTAAAATTTACAAAGGGAACACCGGTTACGGATACATTTCGATAAAATCTTGTCTAGCAGGTCAAACGATAAAGAAAACAAAACAGACTTGGTGCGTAACGTGTTCAATGAATGCCTATAAGAATCACGTTCCAAACTACGATACTCTGCTACGATAGGAAACACCAGCTCCTGCAGTACCAGCGCTTCGAAGCGGCGCGCGTGGCCTGAACGGGATTGCTGTAGAAATACGCGTGGCGCTCAACGTGTTAATAGTTTTAGCAATAGTATTGGAGTTGTTGGATGTAACTGGCGTGAGATCTCACTTTGCAGTGTAATATGAGAGAGACCAATATTTTGCAGTGTACAATGAATAGGTTGATCTTGGTTATCCTCAATATTGCAGGAAAATTTTGATTGTTATTAATGGGGTCCAACAGGCCCAATGCTAGTAATATCAAACCCAAGTTTTTTTTTTTTGATGGGCGAAAATGGTATGGTAACCCCGCCTGCGCTAACGGGATACGCTGGCGGAGCACCAGTGAAGGGTGATAGGTGAGAATGAAAACAGGCCAGTTAGCCTATCATGATGAATTCATAAGGAATTAACCATGATAGTTTCCAGGGGGAACCGCGAGGAGGTCGACCTGGTTGGGTATATTGATGGCAATAGGATTCTGTCTCCATCACTAACAATCCCTTTCTCCCCATCAAACCCAAGTTGAGCTTCACTTAATCCGCTTAGAAACCATCAACCGTATATTCATTTAACTTTTTATTATACCAAAAACATAAATATATACAATAACTCCCTGGAAACTATCATGGTTAATTCCTGATGAATTCATCATGATGGGCCAACTGACTTGTTTTCATTCTCATCTATCACCCTTCACTGGTGCTCCGTCAGCGTATCCCGTTAGCGGAGGCGGGGTTACAATATTATTTTCTCCCATCAAAAAAAAAATCTACCTACTACAGAATATCTTTATAAATAACGTTTACAGTTTTTTTGACATTAGATAATACAAACGAAGTGCGGCCTTCGACGCGCTATTTTATAGCCACGCGCCGCCGGCCTGGCCAGTACCGTCACACCGCTATGTCCTTGCATTTTAAATCCGTAATATCTTTGGAAATATTTATTTAAATTATATGCTGTAAATGGCCATATTGATCTATATTAAATGGACAATGTATTTAAGGTACATTGTATTAACACAGGGACGGACAGACAGCGACAGCGACTTTGTTTTATACCATCCCAATAAAAAAATTACCCAAGCGTAAACTATATAAATAGTGCAGGTGGAGTTCTTGAGTTCTGGAGTATGAAGAAATATAGTTTATAATATTATTATGGTTTATTTGATCGAGTATAGATTGCACGGTATTAGAACATGCCGAGTTGTCTGAAGATAAAACTGCTTTTTTTTAAAGGTCTGTCACTACTAGAGCAAGAATTTATATTAATTATCATATCAGTTCGCTACATAGTATTATTTTTTAATTTTTCTCCGCCCCAATCTGAATATAATTGTTTTTAAAAATACCTATAATTTCTATTAATTATTAACCCGTGTGGTCCCGGCATAGAATAGGCCACCCTTTCCTTTCCCAAGGATTATGGACGATGATTAAGGGTGGGCGAGGAATGGGCAGCAGCATTCCTCTTAAAAGATCTCTAATAGCCTAATTGCCGTTGTCGACCCACCCGCCAAGTGTGTCAAATACTGGCTTTTGCCTTTTCCCCTTATGGGGAAGGCTTATATTCAGTAGTGGACAGGTAACAGCTGAAATGAATTAATACAATACCAACTCATTCTCGTCCACTTTCGGTTGCCTTCTATCCTCAAATAGGTAATAGTACTCCTTGCCCAGCTCTTTCACGTCTCTCGGGTCGAATTTCTTATCCTTATTTTTCCAGTGTACCTTCTTAAAATGATTCCTCATCTCCCTAGCCAAATAGAACATTGTATCGCAGAGCGGGCAACATATAGTTTTCTCAGTATGTTTCTTTATTTTATGTGTGTTCATTATACTCGAAGATCTAAATTTCTCCCCGCATATATCACATTCGTACGGCGTAACACCCGAGTGTAAACGTAGGTGCATTTTCAAGCACACCCTGTTCGCGTATTTCTTGCCACAAATAGTACAGTACCGTGTGTGTTCTGTAGAATGAGTCTGGATGTGCTCCTTCAAACGTTCCTTGCCACAAAATGTTTTCTTACAAATATTACACTCGTAAGGTTTTATTTTTAAATGGAATCTATTGACGTGAGACTCTAACTCCCCTTTCCTTGTCACCATATGCCCACACCAGTCGCATTTCACCACTTTCAAATTCTTTTTCGGCTTCACCAATTTCTTCTGTGTATGCGTGTACTTCAAATGTCTCTTCAAATATATTGGCTTTATTAATTTTCTGCAGATAGGACATTCTACAGGGTCCAAATGAGCTTGCTTGTGCAATTTCAGCATTGACTCTGTTTGGAATGTTTTACCACAAGTCTCGCATTCATATGCATTGACAGTGCTCTTATTGGCATTACAGTAAATCATATGTTGAGGAAAGAAAGCAGTTGTTATGAGTTTGTTACAATCATTGCATTTGATGACGTCATCGCAGTGCATGCGGCTGTGTGCATGAAGTTTCTTTATGTCGTCGAAATCAACATTGCAAATTTTACATGGAAATCTTGCGTCGGGACCATGGGTCGCAATATGCTGCATCAGTTCTTTCTTGGCATCGAATTTAGTTTCACACATTGGACATTCTAGGTTGGTTCGCCTTCTTTTCAGTTGTATACCACTGTGTATTCTAAACATGTGTTCTTTCAATTTCAATATTGTGTAAAATTGTTTGTTACATAAATTGCAAGGGAATACGCCGTCATTGTGTTTAGTATTTTTATGGTTCGACAACTCTTCTTCAGTATCAAACGAGGATGTGCATACATCACATTTAAATTGTCGTTTAATCCATTTACAGATTTCAACGTGTTCGTCAAATGTCGTTTTACTTTTAAAGTCCAAATCGCAGAATTGGCACATCAAGTTTTCCCTGTGGAATCGATTTAAATGGTTCCTTAAAGTCACTTTAGAATAAAACTGCTGAGAACAATGAGCGCAAGTAAAGGGGTGGTGGTCTAAATGCTCACGATTGACATGACCCAATAATGCTTCTCTTTTCGGACAAACGTAATCACAATCCAAACACATAATTTTAGTAGCTTGATTCATTACTTGCTCTCTATATGAGACTAAATATTTGTAATGTATACACGGCATCTCTCTGCAATCTAAACATCCATATTTACACTTATGAATTTTTAGATCGGCTTCTTTAAAATGTTTCAAGCACATTATACATTGCGGGTCGCCATGTTTTCTCTTCATGTGCGTTTCCAGTGCTAAAGGAGAGTAGAGTATATGATCACAGACTTCGCACTCATATATGTCATCTTCGTGGTTAAGTTTTAAATGCTCCAGAAAAGTTTCTTCAGGCATAATATTAAAACATAATCTACATCTAGCCTTATTGTGTACTTTATAATGCAACGATAGAAGTCTTTTGGTCTTTAATGTTTCATAACAAATTTTGCATTGCAGTGGTTGTATTTTGCCGGTTATTCTTGAAATTTGGCATAGTCTCTCGTGTTGCAACCACTTTTTAGTTGTAGATATGACTCTTTTACATTTCATGCATTTATAAATTGTATTTTTCAGTCTTTTTATATTTCTTTTTTTTAAATATATTTCTAGATTTGTTCCCTTTGTTCCATCTGTCTGAATTTGGTCTTCTGCTTCTGTAATATTGCCAGTTAGGTGTACATTAGAATTAAAATTTATATCTGTTTTAGCATTTTCTACATTATTAAGCCCAAACTCTATTCCAACACTATCAGTGATTGTTTTCGTATCGACATGTTTATGTACACTTTCATTTTCTAGTATTATTACAACATTTGAATTCTCATAACTGCCATCAGATATCAATTGATTATTTAAATCTGTTATTTTCATTGATAAATCTTCGATGTATTTATTAACTATTTTGGATAACTTTATTGTGTTATATATGAACAGGTAGCATTGTATAGCATTTCTAGAACAGTCATTGCAAATAAAGGGACTTCCCAAAACACTTTTGACCTGTAAATGATAAAATACAAATATTATTATTTAAACAATTAATGCCTTCTTGATTTTCCTGTCTCAATAAAGCTTGTTCGAATGATTGGTTCTTGGTGTTTATTCATTCAGAGAGCATGATGCAAATGTAGTTAAAACTTCTACATAGATGATTTCGTCAATGTTATTTGAAAGGAGTGTTCTCTCAGTGAAACTGAATATTTTAACCAATAAATATATGTCGAAAAACGACAAAAAATATAAGCTTTCCGTACTAACACGTTCAGCTGTTGAATTAGTATTGAAGACAATAATATTGTCGAATTAAAATTTTTTATTCATAACATTTCTGTCCTAATATGTTCTATAGCATAGTAGATTCCTATTTTTACCACACCCCGGATACTTCATACAATAACGCCCACGATCCGCGCCTGTTACAACTACAGAAACGACGTTTGTATTGTTTGTGCTTTATTTCTCTAAAAATCTCTAAAATTTATATTTCAATTTGACATTTCAGCGAAATGTTTATTGTAAGGATCAATATGAACTAATTTTCGAATAGATTAAAGAAAAAAATGATTATTATTTTAGTTAACGATGATCTACAAAACAATAACTTTCCGATATTATAAAATGAAAATATTAGGTTGAGATTTAATTTAGAGAAATGGTCTCTGAGATGTGTGCCTGTGTTGTAGACTTTACTTCTATTTGCATCTTCTACCGCCCGTATAACGGATTGTGTTCTGAACAACTCTTCAATATGATACCTACAGCCACCATGGTACCGCTCGCCATCGGTAGGGAATCCATCCTCACATCTTAGAACCAGAATGGTCACGCACAGTGCGGTTTTAGAGGAGTTTCCTCCAACGAACACTTAAGTTGTGAAATGATCTTTCTGCCGAGGCTTTTTCTAAAGACTACAACATTGGGCTCAAAATAGGCGTATTAAGGGTCGGCAATGTGCGCGTGATATCCCTGGTGATCCCGTTTATCGTCGCACGGGCCGTACGCTTGTTTGCCATCATAGTAGCATTAAAAAAAGTTACGATTAGCGCGGGAAAACAGCGTTTGGGTTACACGTGTTTGAAAGAGAGTGAGGTCAGATCACAGCAGGCGGTAGGGAGAGTTCATACTATACGTAAGCGCTGTTATTTATACTGTGATACGGTGAGGTAGCTCCGTGAGGCCTGTGAAGTATGTGTGTGTCAATGACGAATAACGAACAATAATAATTTTTCACGCGCCATAATGTTCCTTTGTTTTTTTTTTCAATAAACAGCTTTCTATTTGCAAGCAAGTTCGAAATTTAAATAAAACTTTTTATTAGTTACCTCCTTGGTAGCCATGTTTCGACGTAAAAGGTCATTCCATTTTGAAATTACAGGACAGATATGAGTTTACATAGTAATTTATTTGGCCGCAAAACACGACAGATATGGATTTTTATACAACTTTTGCCGGCCGCTACCCGCATGTATCTAGACATGACGGCAATTTTGATTTATCTCTAAGAAGATTGTCAAAATAATGATCACATTTCCAAGCATGTTTGAGTTAATCTGTTCCATACATACAATAGCATTTTTTATTATACTTACATCTTCCTTAAAGACATAATAAACGATGTCCTTGATTAGTTTCTTTTGTGACTCGTTATTTATAATAATATCAAACTCTGTATCTATTGTCCATAGATTTTCACTACTCTCCAGGCAAATGCCACAAAATTTGTTCTTCTGGCATAAATTCCTTATTTTTTGTTTTATAATTTGTAGATCAGGATCGTTTGTTGGTAACTGATCGTTTACCTCTTCAGTCATTTTTCATTCAATATATATTTATCTGTAAATCTATGAATAATGATTAGGTAATTAATCAGAGGGAGATTTTGTACAAATGTCGTTTACTTGGGTACCTCTTTCGTGGTTCCATTCGTGGTTCTACTGTGAAGCAGTTGTTATTGGTTGTGTTTCGGTTTGAAGGTTTTTTTTAATGGGTGATAATAAAATAGTAACCCCACCTGCGCTATCAGTGCGCTGGTGGGGCACCAGTGAGGAGTGACAGGTGGCGATGAAAGCAGGCCAATTGGTCCATCGTGACAAATTCTAGAATGAACCACGATAGTTTCCAGGGGGAATCGCGTGGAGGTCGACCTAATAGGGTGTTGCCATTCTAAGTTGCAAGGTAAAGTTTATTTAGTTACTAATTATCATAATGTCATTAAACTCTGTTACAGACAATAATAATAAATACATTCGTAAACCACAATAATTAAAATAATGATGTTTAACTAAATGTTATAAGTATGCATGAGTAGTTCGTCTTTTGGTTAAATGAATGTTAGCTTACAAGAATAATAAACAATAACCGTCTTGTTATAAAAAAAAGTTAAACTTGCGACAGACAGGTATTCAATTTATTAGAGAAAAGTGTCTAATATCTGTTTATATTTAAACAAAAGTGTTTAATAAATTATAATATAGACATTATTATTTGTACCTACTAACTAGTTATTGGATAAACAGTGTTTAATAAATATTTTTTGTAATAACAATGTAATGAATTAAGCAAAGAAACAATAAATATATTGGCTGCTTTTTATATCGTTTCGTTTAACGACATTAGGCATTGCTCCAATAATTGAATTAAACAGGTTTTTGAGCTGGGTGCTTATTGAATATTTCTTACTTTTGAGAAATCCCATTCATGCTACAACAGGAACACAACTTTATTTAACACCGGTGTGTTCCAGTCACAATTTTTTTCACGTGATTTCCCAAATTAGTAACAAGAACTAATACTTACTATGGATGTAAATATTTTACGTCAACAGTTTGTAAAATTTGTAAGTACCCGGTGAAACTGCGTTTGAATGATCGTCTGTTTTTTATATAGACCCTAACAAAATAGTATAATTAGAGACATAATAGGAATAACAAAAAAATATTATTTAATTAATGCAAAATGGCGTTCCTGTTACGTTCTAAGACAGTGATGTGCTTTATTATTGAATCGATATAGAATCGTTTGTATATAATTGATTTTATTTTGTATCGAATCAAAAACTTTTTCGTATTGCGAATTATGTCTGGATTATAATATGATTAACAATGTAATTTAAATTACTATTTAAATTTTTAACTGACAAAAACACTAATACCGTGTATATCAGTTTTTAAAGAAGATGACTTACTTCCTAAAGATGAACAATGTATAATGTTAGTTTAAATTCCTTGCGTAACGGTGGTCTATTGGAAAAGAAAGGAATATAATTTTATATAGAAATATTCCAATATAGTTGTATAGGAATGTCTTTTGCTTTACTTGAAAAAGAGAAATGTCACATCGACAATAATGTGATAACTTTTTTAACATATGACAGTCAATTTAAATTCTTCAAATTCCAGACAATTTATCTTTTTGAAGACTAGGCAGCATGGTCTCCGACCTTAGCCTGTTCCAAACGGAACAAACGTACTAAAAAAAAAAAAAAAAAATAAATTCTTCAATATTCTATATTTCAAACTCAAACAAATAGCTAATTTCAAAACTTTTCAAACAAATAATTTTAATCAATTAAAAATTTCAAAAATTTATAAAGATAAACATAAAAGAAGTTTTTTTTTGCCTGTTTACGTCTCCAAGTGGCTTGTATAGAAGCAAAAGCATAGAATAGGAAACGATATTGGACATACTATACAAAGTAATTCAATATAAAACACAAGAGGTTTTATTATTTTAAAAATCAATTAAAGCAGAAAAAATAATTGTTTACAGATCGGAAAATCTTATATTAATCTTCTATAAATTAAAATATTTAATTATTACTAAAAACGACAATATGGATATTTTGCGGCTATTTTTGAATGAGGAGACATTAAAGAACACTTGTTTTCTGTGTTTTAAAAATAATGAGAAACATATGTCAATCTATCAAGATTTTTTTATATATAATGATGAATGTAATGATTTGAAAATTTGTCTATATAATATGATAAAGTTTTTGCTTCCAATGCAAGTGAGTAATTTTAAAGAATTATTTTTTTATATCACGATTAAGGCAAACAAGCATACAGCTTGTCTCATGTTAAAAAGTTATTGTACCCTATGTACGCCTACAATACTAGGGGTGTCACTAGTACATTGCCAACTGTTAAGAAATTAAATAAAAATATTAGTATGAATAGTAGTATGATATCATTGCCTTTATTCCTCATACTGTCGAGTATTTTGAATCCAATCAATAAGTTTTTGTCTACAGATTCCTATAAGCTGTCATATAATAACAAAGAGATGAGGCTAAGTGCGGAAAATGGAGTCCTATTTACATTACTTTACAACAAAGAGATGATTTATTTTACTTCTAGATGAAAATCTGAGCATGTTTTTAGATACTTTCTTATAATACTTTAATAAAATATATTTATTCATTTCAGGATATAATATTTCATCAAGCGTGTGACATCTGCACTCATTTGATTATAAAAATATATCTCGTTATGAGAAAACATAATGAAAAATTAGAGCAATACAATGTAATTATAGACAAACTAATTTATCAAGTTGAAAAAAAGTCATACCATTTGAAGGATACAGATAAAGTAAATGAAATATATTTGAATGTTCAAGAACCAAATAATGATTATAAGGAAAGTGTAAATAATCAAATTGTTACAGAAGATAAAATTGATTTTGAAACAGCATTGAAAAGCTGTAAAAAATGTGATATGAAGTTCAAATCTACAGAATTATTACAGAAACATTACAGTGCTGCCCATAGAAATATAAGTAAATCTATGATATGTGATATCTGTGGTAAAAATTATAAGTCTCCACAAGCATTGAAGGATCATCTCAATAGCCATACAGAAAAACAGTGTCCGTACTGTTGTAAAAGTTTCAAAGTATCCTATTACAATGAACATGTACGTAATCATGAAAGTAAGGAACGTAGGAAGAGAAATAAATTGTACTACAATTGTAGTCATTGCAGTTATAAAAGTGTCAACAAATGCTCACTAAATGCGCATATAAATAAAATACATTTGCAAATAAGGCCTTTTGTTTGTAAGATATGTTTTAAAGGCTTTCATAAAAAAAGCACCTTGACTGAACATATTAGAATTCATGAAAAACGAAAGGATTTGACATGTGAACTTTGTGGAGAAGGTTATGTATGTATCAAAACATTGACAGAACATTTGAGGTTACATTCTGGTGAGAAACCGTACCAGTGCGAGATATGTAATGTAAAGTTTGCATCATCTGGCCGTAGAACTGAGCATATAAAACGAAAACACAGGGAGAAAACAGAGTCTTGTCTTATATGCAATAAAATGTTTAGTTTGAAGAAAGAAGTCAAAAGACACATGAAAATAGTTCATAAAAATGTTGTTGGGACAGAATCTCAATTATCACATGCTGATCCACAGAGCTATGTATTTAATAATATTGATGTAATATTATAGTCCAAAATACTTCAAAGTTTGAAGATGAAGGTCTTTAACCAGTGTGTGTTGCCAGCGATGACTTGTGGCAACGAATCATGGTCTTACATGATTGCTTGTATAAAAGCTTCAAATTATTCTGTGAGCTATGCTTGGAGTTTCTTTACATGCTAGAATCCGAAATTAGGATATCCGCAAAAGAATGAAAGTCACTGACATAGTCCGCAGGATAAGGAAGCTAGAGTGGCAATGAGCTGGTTACATAGCCCATCATACAGGCAAATGCAGTGTAGGACGACCAGATGTCACTACATGGAGTAACAACCTCAAATGCATTGCAGAAGACTGTTCCTTATGGCAGTCTATGGGGAGAACTATGTCCAGTAGTGGGCAGATAATGACTGAGATAATGATTATGAGTGTTATAGTAACCATATTTAGTTATATAGTTACACCAAGTGTCTTATGGGGTAGGCAGTATGGAACAAGAAAATGCAGTATCAATTTTCAATTACATGTCTGATTTTCTTTAACCATTGTAATTATTCCTTTTAGCGAAGAGACAATTGAATGAAAAATAAATTAGGTACATTAAAATTTATTTTATAAAAAATAAGGTACAAAAGGACATTATTATAACAGTATTTAGGTTTTTCACTATACAATAAATACACAAGTTGTAAAATGAGTATTATTTGATGTTGCCATCAATTCCTCTGTCATCACATAATAGTCTAGCTTAATCGTAATTTATATTACGATTTGTGTAACATTGCAATTTTTATACTCCTGTAACTATAATAATACAATATTTTAGGACTGTCAAAGCCCTAACTAAAATGTAGTTAAATCTAAATAAGGTTTATAATAGATTACTGTTATCATTTTAGAATATTAACTAGTTATGTTTACCTACTAATTATTTGTTGTTGTACTTGGGGGGAGGATAGATAGCTGACTTAACGTCTGAATTAAAAAAAAAAATTATAAAAAAATATAATCGAGTTTATAAAATCTGTATCACATCACACTGCGGCTAAGAGATTCATATAATACCCTTATAGTACATTAGGTAGGTGTATATTTCTTGTAGCCACACAATTTTGAGTTCCTTTTTTAAACTCAAAATTGAGCACTTTATTAAAACTAAATCTTATGATTTTTATATATTCTATCAAATATATCCTTTACAAGAATATTATTTATATTTCATTTGATTTTCATACACATATTTCCTCCCCTTAATTTGTTATCTGTAAGTACAGCAGTTTAACATTGAAAGGTTATGGGCCCCTACATTGCTGTTTTAGTGCACCAGCATTTTTTAGAGGTGTAACGAAACGGTTATTAGTATTTTTTCATTCCACGATTATGGCAAAAAACCATACAGCCATAACTACATAGTTTCTTTTCACTTAATAGTAATCAATTTTATGGTTCAGATTCTGCGATTGCATCCCTTTCGTTACAGCCTGTAATATTGTAATTTTTGGTTTACCCATTTGATATAACTGAGTAGGTATCTAGTTTACATTATACAATTTATCTGTAACATTTACAAAGAATTAATTTCGGCTCATTATGAGCTAATATAGTTTAAGTATCACGCAAAATGGTAAATGTTTCGGTAACTTGTTCTTATAGCTAGAATACTTCAATATTTTCATCTACATAATATTGTTGGCGGATTTATAGGCGAATGGTACGGTAAAGAATCTACCAATTGGCAAACAAATATTGTACCGTAATGATAATGTTGCCAACAATAAGGGAATTGGCCTTAACATGTCTTAAAATACAAGCTTATATAAAATCACGTAAATGTTCCATATTCATACTATGATATCTCGTCTTATTACGTATATTGTTAATTCATTCTATATTGCAAGATGAGTACACGCGATTAAATCGAAATCGCATCGTAAGCCCACCTTACACGATCATAATAGATCTTGTTTTGAATAACCCGCCGAGTTTAATAGGCTTCTCAGGTTGAGAACATAGTATTAACGTACTGGTTGATTTAAATCAGCGGATTATACAAAGTAAATCTTATTATGATCCGTGTACAGTGTTTTTAACTTCAAAGGTAATAAACATTAAGAATACTACCTAAATGTTCTGGTACCGACATAATAGCTAATAAATTCTGATTTGGTTTTTGATTCGATTCCAAATCGATTACATCAAGTCACCTTACAGTACTTAACTCAAAATTATATTGTTTATAATTACAGTTATCTGATCACAGCTGAAACTTTCTACTAATATGTTTTTTTTTTTTCATATTAAAATGCTTTTGGGGGCATTTGACTTCCTTTTTTTTCTACGTACTCCAATAGGAGATATGCATGACGTATATCATAAAAATCTTTGCATTTATCTGTAAAGTCTGAATGAGTAAAGTTAGGAGTACTCAAGAGACGAATATAAATCAAGAGATTGCTCCCGGATGAGTACAGAATAAAAATCAATTTGGACAGAAAAAAATGTCTATGATGAGACATCACAACACGAATATGGATCAACGTAAAATCACAATCGCACATCGATCATCAGAATCAAGTCTCGGGTGTTATTTTAGTACTGGTAACCACCGCCTTGACTCGGGGGGGCGTATCTCTGGCCGGGCCCACTGCTGGGACCGGGGTAGCCGGCGGGCTGGTCAGGGTATCGGGCTTCACCTTCGTACGTTACCTGGAAATAGTGTTTGAATGAATATGTCTCCTGGTTTTGTATCAATCACATAAAAGCAAGGAGGACTTAACTAATAGGGTCTAACAGCCCCATTGCTAGCAATATACGCTGTTTGGTTGACCACCACGCGGTTTGCTCCTAATCAATTCAATCAATCATTCAATCATCACCTAAAAACCATCGTGGTTAATTATTGTAGAATTCGTCAACGATGGGCCAACTGACCTGCTTTCATCATCATCATTATTTCAGTCATTATCCGTCCACTGCTGGACATAAGCCTCTCTCATAGATTGCTTTCATCTTTACCTATTATCACTCACTGGTGCTCCGCCAGTGTATACCGACAGCGCAGGCGGGGCCATTTTTACTCATAAAAAATAGGATATAAGCAAGTTCTTTAGTATCAAAAAATAACGTGACAGTTATACTTAAGCAGGCTACTTTATCATACCTCAGCGTTGAATCCATTCCTCCAGTCAGCGGTGTACTTGACGATCTGGGTGCGACCATCAGGCAGAGCTACTCTGTATTCGCCCCTGGTGACGTCACCATCAGAAATAGCGTTGTGACTATAGTCATTGCCGTCCTCGTTGACGGTGTAGGCAAAGTCGAAGGGCATGCCGGGCTCGTGGTGGTGATCATGGCTGTGGTCGTGATCATGACTGTGATCGTGATCATGCGGGTTGATCTGGAATTTTCAAATTTGGAATTCATTTATTCCATTTTATTCCATTCCACATTATTAGAAAGTTGTTTGCTTGGGTAGCCGGGTCGGATCGCTAGTGTTCAAAATGAACTTTTTTACATACATTGATAGATGTCGTTTTTTATAACAAAGAAAATTGATAAACAAATGAATTATAACGAAACCAGAGGGAGACTTTGTACAAAAGTCGTTTGCTTGGGTACCTCTGTCCTATTCGTGTTTTAACCGTAAAGCAGTTGTGTTTGCATGGCTGTGTTTCGTTTTGAAGGGTGGGATATGGCGTGAATTTACAGGGTACAGAGGAATAACACCTGAGTCATCATGAATGGCAACGCATGGGGGGTATCATGGGCGAAACAGTATACTCTGTTATGTCCATGGTACTGCTCATGTCTATAGGCGACGGTTACCACTTTCCAACAGGTGGGCCGTCAGCTTGTTTGCCATTCTAAGTTGTATAAAAAAAAGTTGATTATTTGGAATTTTCAAAATTAAAATTTAATGTATAATTTATTCTTATACATTAAATATTTTTTGGAGTTAATAATATTCTAAATATATAATCTGCCAACTTAAGATCAAGAACATTAAATCTATCTAATTGAATCTGTCCTACATGACATGAACACGACTGTGATCGAGATCATGCGTGCTGATCTGGAATGTTCGAAATTGGAATTACGAATAATTCATGCTCGTATGTATTACGATAATTTTCTTTTATTAGACTTTGAAAAAATTTGCCATACAAATTTGGATGCAATAATTTTAGGAATAAAGCTAGATGCTTATCATCCATCGATTATATACGCCGACCTTCACACACCACGATTCTATGTGTATCGAATTCCGAACAAGCCATGCAGAACCGCCGAACGATATTGTTTATTGAAACAATAACACATTTGCGAAGAATCGTAAAATTTCGCAACTAAACGAAGGTGGTTTGAAACAATCGGCCAATGTACTGTATCATATTTTTAACGGTACGTTAGGTATTTGTTTTTTGTTCTTTAAATGAATTACCTGTGTTGTTTATAGATACCCGATTTTATTGTTAAATATTTCTTAAGAACACATTATATATTTTAATGTATAAACTACAGCTCGACTAGTTTCGCATTAAATTCGTAATTCTTAGCTGCAAGCGTCTGCAGCTCGCGGTCAGCGTACTGAGGCGCGCCAGGCGCGGACTCGCATCGCAGTCGCTCATGGTTAGGGATCACGTATTGATCCCGAAACTAGTAGAGCTTTTTAGATCTAATTACACGTAAGTTAAACCGGTAGTTATTGCATTAAAAGGTACTCAATTGGATTGTTTTATACTATCAAGTTGTGTTTTATTATATCAACAGTGTCTTTAGTTATTTTTTTATAATTATTTTGTTTTTATTTTTAACTCTCTAATCAGTTCCTGGTACATGATAATTTTTGAAGATTCAATTTATTTTCAGATTGTTACGCTTACTCCAGTATACAATTATCCGGCAAATGGTAGTTATGATACTTTTCTTTATTTTAACTATTTTGACTGTGTCGTGGTTTAACACTGCATCATCATCTAATGGTCGTGGGTTCGAACCCAGCAAAATACAAACACTTGCATTCATGAGCACGTATTTTTTTTAATGGATGATAATGGTATGGTAACCCCGCCTGCGTTATCGGTATACACTGGCGGGGCACCAGTGAGGGATGATATGTGAGGACGAAGCAACTCTGTTGGCTCATCGTGATGAATTATCAAAAATTAATCACGATGGTTTCCAGGGGAAACGCGTGGAGGCCGACCTGTTAGGGTATATTGCTAGTAATGGGTCTGTTGGATCTCACTACTAACAATCCCTGTCCCCCTGATATGCACTTATTAAAAAATAGTATTTTAATTATTTACTTTTAAGTTGTAACAACGCATCTAAGTAAGCCTTGTATTATTTGTTATAGAGAACAGCCCCCCTAGATAAGTGGCAACCGAATCCACCGATGGAATCGTTATAGAAAGCGAATCCATGAGTTGGAACGAGACATCCGACGTTGTTGTCTCATTCTAATTCACAGACTCGACTAGTGTTAATGATGTGCGTTTGCGTTTTGATGATGAACGGATAATATGATGATGATGATGATGATGATGAATAAATACACCTAGTATTTGAAGCGATTTAACTAGGGTAAATAAAAATAGATAATAATTTGAAGCGTTGATGTAATATAAATTTGATGTAATGCGTTGAAGTTTTGTTTTGCGAGTAGTTACAATTTTGAAACCTGAAAGGTCATGTAAATTTCTCCTGCGTTATGATTGGCGTTCTCGCGATGTCGTGATGAGCGGCTCTTGTGACTGGTTGATGTTGTGTGTTCTATGATCTATTAATAACTTAGCAGTCGTCCATTGGTTTTACCGCTGAAACCGCTTCATTATACGCAGGAGTGAATAATATTCATTGCATATTGTTAATGCTTTAACAACTAGCAATGTCGATTCCATCGATGAATTCGCTTGTCATTCGTCTAGAGCAGGAGTGGCCAATCGGCCGATCGCGACTATTAGTGTAGTTGATCGTGGCAAGGCCAAAATTTCGCTATGAATTTTTGATGAGATGAATTCTCAAGGCGAATGGTGCATCTGCCTATGCTGACGGTATACAATGGTGGAGCACTAGTGGAGACAGAAGTCAGGTCAGTCAGTCGTGGCTGATTCCCATGATTTGATGATTTCCAGGGTGAAGGTTGACGATAGGGCATAGTAAACAAAGGGAGACTGTACGAAAGTCATCTGCTTGGGTACCTCTGTCCCATTCGTGTTTCTGCCACGAAGTTGTATTTGCATAGCTGTGTTTCAGTTTGAAGGATGGGATATGGCAATTAAATGACAAGGTACCGACGCATAACACCATAACCCTCAGGAATAGCAACACATGATGATGCAAGTGTAATATGGGCGATACAGTATACTCTGTTATGTCCATGGTACTGCTCATGTCTATAGGCGAGGGTTACCACTTTCTATTAGGTGGGTCGTCAATTTGTTTGCCATTCTAATTTGCACAAAAATTATTGCTAGCGACATCCCAATTACAAATGTTCCCCCAAGGTACCGTGTTAAACCGCTGCACCACCTATGTCTTTAAATGAGGGGGGAAAGGGATTGTTGATACCTAACCAGGTCGACCTCCACGCGGTTCCCCCTGGAAACTATCATGATTGATTCTTCGTGATGAATTCATCATGATGGGCTAACTGGCCTGTTTTCATTCTCATCGATCACCCTTCACTGGTGCTCCGCCAGCGTATCCCGTTAGCGCGGGCGGGGTTACCAATCCATTTTCATCCAACAAAAAAAAAATCTTTAAATGACCAATAAGTCATAAGAGTTAATAATTGTTACCTATTACTATTTTAGACGAATTTAATACAAACAAGTTGAAACAGAAGGATATAGGTAAGTCTACAACAGTAAGTTTCTATCGTGAAACAATTTTTTTTTACAACACAGGGGGCAAACGAGCATGCGGCTCACCTGATGGTAAGTGACTACCGCCGTGTGCCTTGAAAAACGCACGGAGGATCGTCAATCATCCAGATGGTTGGGATGAAACTTTAGTTTATAGCGGGTTGTACGATGGTGAAAATCAGCAGCAGGTATCAATCCGAACAATTCCTCAGAGCACTCCCCATGATAAATTCGATAGAAGATGTACCGATTGGATAATATTGTAACAAACTCATAAACTATTTTTAAAGTGAGAAAAAAAGGTTGTCTTCGACTTGCTGCACCCAATAGAGTCCATAATTAAAGTTGAAATGTTATCTACCGTCCACATTATGGGATCACTCCAGAGGGAGACTTTGTACAAGTCGTTTGCTTGGCCACCTCTGTCCCATTCGTGTTTCTACCGTGAAGCAGTTGTGTTTATATGGCTGTGTTTCGGTTTGAAGGGTAGGATACAGCAGTGAATTTACAGGGTGCAGAGGAATAATACCTGAGTATTCCGGAATGGCAACACATAAGGAGTATCATGTGCGAAACAGTCTGTTATGTCCATGGTACTGCTCATGTCTATAGGCGACGGTTACCACTTTCCATCAGGTGGGCCGTCAGCTTGTTTGCCATTCTAAGTTGTATAAAAAAATGAAATAAGACACAAATAAAAAAATAAATATCTAGTAAGAAACAGTAGGCAAAAGTGGGAATACCTATTTAACAATTACTGCACGATAATTGCTAATTATAATGGTATTATGTTGCTTGATTATTTCTTAGATAGGTTAAATGCACTTTTCTCTCTATTAATAGATAGATAGATAGATACTCTTTATTGTTTCCTCCAAAAGATTACAATAGTAAACTTATTATAAATATAAATAATTACAAGAAATAATCACAGTGAGAAAACAATAGGCGACGTTATCGCTAAAAACGATCTCTTACAGGCAACCTTTGGATGGAGAGGAGTAATTATAAACAGTTTGATTGGAAGCACGATGAAGATTAATTTGTACTTTGTTGCTTTGCTATTGCTGCTGGGCATAAACCTCCCCCATAGACTGCCATAAAGAACGGTCCTGAACCACCTGTATCCACTGACTCCCTGCAATGCATTTGAGGTCGTCAATTCATCTAGTGGGGGATTGTCCTACACCCGTACGCGGTTGTTACTCAAAAACCTTTCTTCCCCATCGGTTGTCGGTTTTTCTTGCTATGTGACCAGCCCATTGCCACTTCAGCTTGCTTATCCTGTGAGCTATATCGGTTATAATATTAGGAATTGGAGGGGGAAAAGGGATTGTTAGTAATGGAGACTGAGAATCCCATTGCTAGCAATATACCCAACCAGGTTGACCTCCTCGCGGTTCCCCCTGGAAACTATCATGGTTAATTCCTGATTAATTCATCATGATGGGCTAACTGGCCTGTTTTCATTCTCATCTATCACCCTTCACTGGTGCTCCGTCAGCGTATCCCGTTAGCGCAGGCGTGGCTACCATACCATTTTCACCCATAAAATTATATATATATATATAATTCCTGAGGGGCTACTCATTCATAGATTATCTGAATCTTTTATTTCAATAATTAATAAATTTTAAACAAATGTTGCAGAATATGGAGAAAGATTATCAAGTAAGTTATAATCATCATTCTATTACACATTCATAATACTTATTCATACATGTGTATTGGTAGTGAGATCTAAATGAAATAATTGCATTATACAAATTAGTTGCACAATTGTCAGTACTGCTAAAAAGCCCATGTTTAATATCTGTATACATGTATATGATAACGCGAGTACTGCTTCCTACAGGACAGGCTCGGCCTAGTGTAGGAAGCAATGATACATTCTGTGCTAATACAAACATACTCTGTTAAATAAATATATCTTTTATCCTATCAACCGCCAATAGTCCATTGCTGAACATAGACTTTCCCCTTCAATTTGGTACAGTAGTTTTCGCGTGATGCAGGAACAAAAACAGGACAGACAGACACAAAATTTTTAATAAAAGTATTGTTACAGCTTCTCTTGCTCTTATTAAGAGTCCTTATAATATATATTTTTTACATTTCTTACATTTAGGTACCTGTAGGACAAATATGGTCTTTTTTTATACAAATGGCAAACAAGCTGACGGCCCACCTGATGGAAAGTAGTAACCGTCGCCTATAGACACGAGCAGTACCATGGACATAACAGAGTATATCGTTTCGCCCATGATACCCCCCATGCGTTGCCATTCCTGAGGACTCAGGTGTTTTTCCTCTGTACCCTGTAAATTCACGCCATATCCCACCCTTCAATCCGAAACACAGCCATGCAAACTCAAATGCTTTACGGTTGTAACACGAATGGGACAGAGGTACCCAAGCAAACGACTTTTGTACAAAGTCTCCCTCTGGTCTAGTTATAAATGTATGATATTAGTAAGTTTTATTATTAAAAAAATGTTAAATTTTATTGAATTATAGGCGTTGAAAATGGTAAGTCAATTAATTGACAACATATCAACTGTCGCTGTAAATCAGCGACCACACTGCAGGTTCTTCAAAATATCCGTATTAAGATTTTTTTCCATGGACTTTTTTTTATATTTTTATTTAGAGGCTTTTATACTATAAGGATATGTCAGCCTAAAAGAATATGTCGCGGGTAAAAGCTATAAAATAAAACTATACCAACTGATTGTAGTTTGATTGGTTTTTAAATTACCTACTATGTGGAGGTAATAGTGGTATAATATAATATAATAATTTGACGGTAATTTGTGGTATAATATAATAATTTGACGTTCATAAGCGGCTAAAATGTCCTACATGAATAAATGATTTTTGAATTTTGAATTTTGAATTTTAATTAAAAAAAAAAATCAATAAGAAGGTTCTAATTCGGTTGTAGTTTTTAATGTTTGTAACTTCGTAACTCCATCAGTTGTAAGTTTTTAAAAAATCTTTTTTTTTTTACCTAAAATGTAAAAAAAAAAATAATTTAATTGAAATCGGTTTTCTAGTTTAGTTTATTAAAATAACTGGTTTTATCATAATTGAAGTCGGTTTATTTTGTGGGATACAATCTTAATTCTATTTTCAATTTGTTTTCAATATATAAATTAATTCAAGGAACAAAACACACCAAAAACTACAGAGGTATGCTTGTTGATATTACTACAAAATATGCATATTAAAGATTGATTATTGCAGGTCCAATGAAACTGATGTATGCTATATTTCCCGCCAGACAGAAAATTACAAGATGTACGACAGACAGACCAATTCAGTGTAAGTATATATATCTGACACATGCCAGGCTCTGACACAAGGAGCAAATATATATATATATATATATATAATATTATATATATATTTATATATTATATATATATATATATATAATCTATTGCCAGATACGTTTCCGTTATTGCATTTTTATGAAAGAACGAGATATAACAGCAGGCGTGTTTAATGTCATGAGTTTAGTTGATAGATTTGGTTGTTTAGGGGATTGTTACTGTCTTTTTAGTTCCGGATGTAACTTAAAAATTCTTACTCATTAATATCTTCTAAGCTCCCCTTCATAAATCATTTGTATATCTGTGTGCAACGGTTAACACTAGACTCTGAGTAACGATCTATTAATTTCCCTTGTTTAGAGGTGAAACACGTGTCGCAAAACGTGTATGAACGAAATGGCAGTCGGAAATTGATAGCTAATATGAAAAGTTGGGGGGGAAAGGGATTGTTAGTAATGAAGACTGAGAATCCTTTGAGAATCATTGCTAGCAATATACTTAACCAGGTCGACCTCCTCGCGGTTCCCCCTGGAAACTATCATGGTTAATTCCTGATGAATTCATCATGATGGGCTAACTGGCCTGTTTTCATTCTCATCTATCACCCTTCACTGGTGCTCCGCCAGCGTATCCCGTTAGCGCAGGCGGGGTTACCATACCATTTTCACCCATCAAAAAGAAAAATTATGAAAAGTTGTGGAATTTCTCAGTTATAGTGGTGGTAAATCTTTAAGTGTTAGTAGTATATATATATATATATATATATATATATATATATATATATACGAGGTCTGTCCGGAAAGTTCGTATAAAAGTGTTCTGGAATGCGAGAAAGAGGAGTGGGGAGGCCAGGTAAGCGCAGGACCCCTTCCTTATGTCCCTAACAATGCTTCAGTTCTGGTCTGACCGCCGTGCGGTGCGAACTGGCTTGTCACGCCATCTGTGAAGTTACCTCTTAACGAAACCCCGTCGGCATGGAGCCCGCTTCCGTTGAAGAGCAGCGCGTCGTAATCAAGTTTCTCTCGAAACTCGGCAAGAATGGCCGTGAAATTTTTGCCGATCTCAGAACAGTTTATGGGGATGATGCTGTGAAGGAACCAACCGTCCACAAGTGGCTAAAAAGATTCAGAGAGGGCCGAGACAATGTTGATTGTTTTTTTCGATGTTCGGGGGATTGTCCATCAAGAATTCGTCCCTCCAGGCCAGACAGTTGATGGAAAATTCTACGTCGATGTGCTCAGACGCCTCAAAGCTCGTGTGGCACGAGTTCGTCCAGAATTGGCGCGAGAGGGGCGTTGGATTCTTCACCACGACAATGCCCCTGCCCACACCTCTCTTGTTGTCCGTGAGTTTTTGAGTAAAAATTCCATTACGGTGACCGAACACCCCCCCTATTCGCCGGATTTGGCCCCGTGTGACTTCTTCTTGTTCCCAAAAACCAAATTGGTACTTCGGGGGCGGCATTTGGGGGACATAAATGAGATAAAAAAAGCTACGACGGGGCAGCTGAGAAACCTACAACCAGAGGACTTTCAAGGAGCCTTCTCACAGTGGAAACGGCGTTGGCACAAGTGCATTATGTCACAGGGGGAGTACTTTGAAGGGGATAAAATTGATTTACCTGAATAATTGTAAAATAAAATTTTTAAAAAACTTTTATACGTACTTTCCGGACAAACCTCGTATATATATATATATATATATATATATATATATATATATATATATATATATATATATATACATTTAGTAACGAAATTAAAATAATTCTAATAACCAATATTTTTTTTTTATTACAGTGGATCCTTCATTTGTTACTGGTAATAAATAATATATAAATAATAATATTATTTACACATTTGTTTGTAAAAGTGAATGTTGAAGAACTAATAATTTAATATCGTATTAAATAATTAATAATTATTTAATAATTAATACTAAGTTATGGTAAATTTATATGGGTCAGTCAGTGCCTAAGATAAATTATTATTATATTTTATTATTATTATTAAATTTCAGATAGCAGCAACGGTAATACATAATTGTAATTAAGAAGATTTAATTTTTAAAAATATTGATTTACACTCATGATAAAACAATATAGCATAACACCATAGTTCTCAGGAATGACAATGCATGAAGGGTATCATGGACGACACAGCATATTCTGTTATGTCCATTTGACAATTTTAATCCTTCAGTATGTGAACATACTAATATTACGTTTTATTTATATAATTAGCAATAAGCCTGATCAGCAATCATCAATTATGTCAATTTTATATTTTTTCTTTTTTGAATGTAAAGTTAATTGTAAAACTTTGTCGAGTCCCCATGATTCATGAGACATGTTTGCCTAGTGTGGGGCCCATTGAATCTTGTGTTTGTAACTTTATGTTTTTATCAAATAACAAATTTCTATTTCTAATTATAGATAGCAAAGAAGATAAACTGAGTAACGAAAATTATATACCAAGCAAAGAGGAACCGAATAATAATAATGGTGATTATACTTACAAACTTTTTCAGTAAATTTTTAATGAAAAAGTAACAAAATTAAGGTTTTTTTTAATTTATCACAGAAACTGTCTCTAAATGAAATTAGTAACAAATCGATACATTCAGATAATGTCATCATTTATCATCATATGATTTGATGCCATCAGTTAGTCGATTCGATAGATCGACATCAGTATTTCAATCAATGATTATTTGATTAGAATGATTTTGTTTAATTCCGCTACCATCAGTATTACAATCAATGGTTAGTTGATTAGAATGAGTTTGTTTAATTCCGCTACCATCAGTATTACAATAAATGGTTAGTTGATTAGAATGATTTTGTTTAATTCCGCTACCATCAGTATTACAATCAATGGTTAGTTGATTAGAATGATTTTGTTTAATTCCGCTACCATCAGTATTACAATCAATGGTTAGTTGATTAGAATGATTTTGTTTAATTCCGCTACCATCAGTATTACAATCAATGGTTAGTTGATTAGAATGATTTTTTTTAATTCCGCTACAATCAGCATTATAATAAATAGTTAGTTGATTAGAATTATTTTGTTTAATTCTGTTACCAGCAGTATTTCAATTAATGGTTAATTAGGATTATTGTGTTTAATTCCGCTACCATTAGTATACGTGCAACTGCCAACATTTGATGGTTAACTATTATTATCAATCTCTGACCGTTATTCAGTCCACGCACATGTTGCAATACGTGTTTCACAACAAAATAAGGGATCATCAGGCAATTGATACTTTCTTAAATCTAATTTAGTAACATATTCAATCAGTTAATCTATTTTTTATTTTATCTATTTAACATCATCATGTGGTCTCGGCATAGAAAGGGCCACCCTTTGTTTTTCCGTGGGTGTCGTAAGAGGGCTTAATGGTCGAGGAATGGGCAGCAACGTTCCTCTCAAGAAATCACTAAAGCTTAACTGCGTTTGTCAACCCACCTACCAAGAGTGGCAACTACTGGCAAAACCCCCCTTATAGAGGAGACCAATGACCAGCAGTGGACAGTTAACGGCTGATATAAGAATTTAAAAAATATTTTTTTTTAGTTGTTACCGAACCCGAGGCGGAAACTACGACTATACAAGAAGATGATGCTACAGTAACAAGAAAACCCTACAGTAGCCCACCAGTACTGAAATATCCAGATCACTATTTTGATGATGAATAAATCCTATAAAGATATATATTTGTTTATATATAATAGTGCGCCACCTACCCTTTGTCTTTTTCTCAATGTCCTCTACCCAAAGGTTGTCTAGAAGAGATTGCTTAGCGATAAGACCGCCTTTTGTATCATTTCTTATTACAGTTAAATGTAATAAGAAATGACTATTCTATAAATGGTGCAATAAAGTGTAAATAAAAAAAATAAAAAAAACACCGACCTCAATCATGACGAAGCCATTTTGATTTAAAAACTAAAGTATTAAACTGACTGATAACTGATAACGTTCAGGTAAAAAAAGAATTTTTCAAATTGGTTTATTTTTAAATGACAAAGTTATGAGGTAACAAATATATATATATATATATATATATATATATATATATATATATATATATATATAAACTAATTGAGAATCTTAAATTTTTTTGAAATCGCTTGTAAAATCTGTTTGTTTCGATTTGTTATTAGTTTCGTTTCGAGTGTTTTTTTTTTTTAAAGGATACAGACTTACAGATTGGTTCTATAGAAATCTTATTGTAATCTTTTTTTTATACCACTGAGGTGGCAAACAAGCATACGGCCCACCTAATGGTAAGCGGTTACCGTAGCCTATGAATGCCTGCAATACCAGAGGTATCACGCGCGCGTTGTCGACCCTGAAGAAACCTCTTTACCCCCCTTTTGAAGAACCTCATGCTGTAGTCTCTTGGGAGAACCTCGGCAGGGTTTGTTCAAAACTCAGTTCAGTACTTTAGTTTTCAAATCAAAATTTTTTTTTTGTGAAATCTGTCAAGTTTTTTTTTTTTTGTGAAATCTGTAATTATTATTTGTTTTATTTCACTTTTGGACATCAGTAGATTGTCTTATGGTCAAGCTAATTATTGGTTTGTTGAAACGAAATGAAATATTTATTTGCTTTACAGACATTTTACATAATGAAGGCCACATGACAGAACTTTCTGGGTTATTATTATTATTATTATTTATTTAACTCTTTATTGCACCATAAATAAAAATATACAATGACAAGTGAATAATTCAAGTGAAATACAGTAACATAAATACAGATTGAAATATACGCATAAAGGTACAAAAGGCGGTCTTATCGCTAGGGCAATCTCTTACAAACAACCTTTAGTTAAAGGAGAACATATCAGAACAGTTCTGTTTGATTGCCTTAAAATTAATAGCCATGCAAATTTAATATTAAGTAAGGATATAGAAATTATGTTGGTTATTATTAAGATTAATAAAAATATGTTTATATTTTCATTAAGTTTTACTGTAAATATATTTATATATATATATATATATTTTGTACTTACTGGTGTTGGACCGGGGGGTACGTAGGTCGGGCCGGAGGGCGGTGGCCTCGAACCGGGCGTAGGACCGGGGGGCACGTAGGTCGGGCCCGGAGTCGGTCTCGGACCAGGGGTCGGTCCGGGAGGCACGTACGGTCTGCTAGGGGTCGGTCGCCCGGGAGAAGGAGTCGGGTACTGTGGAAAATGAGTTACATTTAATACTGAAGTATATTTCTTGTTTTAATGAATCAAATCTGTTTAAAAACGCTTTTGAAAACAAGTTTTTTATAACGTAAACCGACATCTTGTGACGGCGGCCATTGTTGAGTGAATGAATGAATGATAACTTTACTGCTCGAATACAGTTTAATAATACATTAGAAGTATTAATGTATTATTACGCATTACAATGTACAATGTAATAACAATGTATTATGTATTGTACAATGTAACACCTGTACAATGGATTGTGCTCAGAGGAATTGTTCAATATGATGCCCACAGCCACTTTCTACCATCGTACGGCTCGCCATCGACAGGGAGTTCATTATCATGTCCTACGGCCTCAATGGTCGCGTACTGCGTGGTTTCAGAGATGTTTCCCCCCACGAACAGTCAGGTTGTGGAATGAGCTCCCTGCCGAGGTTTTCCCAAGAGATTACAGCATGTGGTTCTTCAAAAGGGGGGTAAAGAGGTTTCTTCAGGGTCAGTAACGCGCGCGTAATACCTCTGGTATTGCAGGTGTTCATAGGCTACGGTAACCACTTACCATCAGGTGGGCCGTATGCTTGTTTGCCACCTCAGTGGTATAAAAAAAAATGTTAAAGAAAAGACTCTCTGCATTTAGCCGTGCGGCGTGCAAATATTTCATATGGAACTTGTTCTTAAAATTTTACATATAAATAGTCTTTAAGTGAATAAAAAAATTTCCTCAATAAGCAAATTGTAAAGTTTTTCATTAAAATTTTTTGTCTGTCAGTTCTCTGTATAAACTAATGATTTATGAATAACTTCGATTCGATTGACACCCTCCCATAAGAATCACACTTCCTTCCGTATATAGCTATAAATAACATGAAGCACGCCCATTCGGACGCCATATTTGCTTTTTATAATTCACAACGCACAATTATCATTAACAACAATGCACTTCTAACCTTGCACGTTTATTTAATAAACTATTCAAATGTCAAAATAATTTAACAGTTAAATATTGCTGCGAAATTATTGGCCGTGAAATGTTAAAGTGTACGCTATTATAATAATTGGTGTTATATTTTATGTTTATAGTTTATTTTTATTATACGTCGCTTATTCAGTTATTACGTTGCGTTTTTAAATTTATTCCGCGTGGACGCGTTTTATTGGTGCACTAGCTCCATCTAGTTAGCAGCGGTTGTAAATTGAGTCCCATTCGTGTTTCTACCGTGAAGAAGTTGTGTTTGCATGGTTGTTTTTCGGTTTGAAGGGTGAAATATGGCAGTGCATTTACAGGTTAAATAGGCATAATATCTTACTCCTCAGAAATGGTAACGCATAGAAGGTATCTTTAGGGAAACAGTATACTCTGTTATGTCCATGATACTGTTCATGTCTATAGGCGACGATTACCACTTTCCATCAGGGGCGCTGTCACCTTGTTTACCATTCTAATTTGCATGACAAAAACAAAAAAAAAATTCGAGGAACCTTGGTTACTTTTTTACGGAACCCCTAGGTTCTGCGACACACTTTAGAAGCCCACTCTACGATGTAAAAATAAAAACGTTTTTGCTGTTGTCGTTTTAATCGTCACGTAATTTTTAGCGCTATCCTATTATATGCTTAGTTAATTATTTGTTATTTTTATAAATACGATAAATTACATCACTGTTATTAATTTTGAATTAACAAATAACAAAAACAACATATAATTTGGACAACCATGCACACATAAATATTCTCAATGCTATTAAAATAGTAAAACAATTATTTTCCAAAAAAAAAAAAAAAAAAAAAAACTATATAACACAATAAAAACATTATCTAATGATCTAAAACGCATTGTAAAACAATTGTTTCGCCTTGAAATTGTCTAGTGCCTTCAAAAAATCATCTCTTATATAGGTATTACGCGTAATCGTAAGACTTTAAAGGATATATCACTGTCTTTTTAATTTATTTATTTACACATACACTGAAAAAACTTTCCATTTAAATAATATCATTAAATTAGATACACTCTCTTTTTAAGAAAAAAAAACTATAAATCATACATGCTATATGACAAAACAAAATCAAAATTAAGATTACACATTTAATTAATAACATCATTATTTTATTTTAAAATTATAATAAGAAAAGAAAAATAAAAAAAAAAAAACAAAATGAATGAAGCATGTTACTCCTTACACTATGGTATGGAACGTTTTTGTTTCTAACTGTATTTATTGTTATAAAAAAAAACTGTATTGGAAAGTGGCATTTTTATTCCATTTATCCCTACTGGACACACAATGGTAGGGACAGGTGGAAAAACAATTCCATTCTTATCTCCCAGGAGGGAAAGTTGATAGTAACAAATGGAACTGGCCTAAAATGAATCGTAGATTAAAAAAAAACATAATTATAATTCAAAGGAGCCGAAATTTTTTATGCCGAATGGAACAACGAATTGATGGTGAAATAAAGAAGGAAATATTGTTGAAAATGTTTCGATTTTCAACCAAGACTTCAAAAAGAAGAAGGTCGTCGACTCGGTGGTATTTTTTTTAATGTTTGTTACTTTATAATTCTGACAGTAGTAAACTGATTTGGAGAATTCTTTTTTTTTTCTTTGAACGAGTATTATATAGCATATTTATAGATTGGTACCATAGAAATTTTAATAAAATAGCTTCAGTAATTTAATTTTTAAATTAATATAATTGATTTTGTCATGAATGAAGTCGGACTTTTTTTTTAAAAACTATTTTTTTTCTTAAACTACTATTTAAGTTTCTTATTTAACGAAGGCGGCATAACTGAAACATTTTACAAACGAAACAAAATCTTTTTACAAAAATATAAAATAGTCCCCAAGATACAGGTCTGGCCTAGTTTGGGGACTGATGGTAATGCAGATATTTCCTCGTTGTATATAAATTGTAAAAAAAAAAATATAAATTATATAAATTTCTTATATATATATCCTTTTAGACAAAAATGTATATAGTTATTTATTTATATTTTACCAGATAAAAAAAATTTTCAAATCGGTTTATCTTAAATGATTTATAAGGTAACAAACATAAAAAAATACAATCGAATTAAGATCCACTTTTTTAAATAAAAGAAAGTCGATTGTAAATTGAAACTTGACTAAGACAGACCGTTCATAAAAGATATTTAAGAGGAATTTATTATTATTATTATTATTAGGGGTATTAAAAAGAGTAGTAGACGATTTTTAGATTTTGTTATGTTTTTTATTTATGTAACTTAGAATGGCAAACAAGCTGACGGCTCACCTGAAGGAAAGTGGTAACCGTCGCCTATAGACATGAGCAGTACTATGGATATAACAGAGTATACTGTTTCGCCCATGATACCCCTCATGCGTTGCCATTCCTGAGCATTCAGGTGTTATTCCTCTGTACCTTGTAAATTCACTGCCATATCTCACCCTTCAAACCGAAACATAGCCATGCAAACACAGCTGCTTCACGGTTGAAACACGAATGGAATAGAGGTGCCCAAGCAAACGCTTTTTGTATAAAGTCTCCCTCTGGTTCTGTATGCTTGTTTGGTTACATTTAAATGACTGTACAAAATTGCATGCAATTTTTACTATGGTCTATTAACACCAGACACAAGTTTTTTCGCAATAGCTTTTTAAAAAATTCCAAAGTACACTTACTGAAACTCCGTTGTTATTCGTTGGGAAGGGTACTTTCGGTGGCTCATAGTTGTACCCCTTGCTTGGGGGTAGGTATTCGTTCGCCGCTGTTACCATGGCAACCATGGATGATGCCACCAGACAGCAGAGCCACATCTGAAACAACATAGTATATAATTTAAATAACTGATCTATTCATGCCTATTTTTTTTTAATGGCATGGTAACCCCGCTTGCGCTATCGGTATAAACCGGCGGAGCACCAGTGATAAGTGAAGATGAAAGCAGGTCAATTAGCCCATCGTGACGAATTCCACTAGAATTAACCACGATGGTTTTTAGGGGGAACCGCGTAGAGGTCGACCTGATAGGGTGTATTGTTAGCTATAGGTCAGTTAGATCCCATTACTAATAATCTCTTTTACCCCATTTTTTTAATGGGTGATTATGGAATGGTAACCCCACTCGCGCTATTGGTATACACCGGCGGGGCACCAGTGAGGGATGATAGGTGAGGATGAAGCAGGTTAGTTAGCCCATCGTGCCCCACGAATTCAACAAGAATTGTTCACAATGGTTTCCAGGGGGAACCACGTGGAGGTCGACCTGTCAGGGTATATTGCTAGCAATGGGATTGGTAGTCTACATTACTAACACCCCCCTCCCCCCGCCCCCTATTGATGCCTACAGTAAATGTATTTGTTTAGTTATATAAACGGAATTTGCCATGTGAACCCGGTATACAATGGGCCACCCCTTCCTTTCTCATGGGTGTCGTAAGAGGTCAATAAGAGAATTTGATGGTCGAGGGATGGGCAGCAACGTCCCTTTTAAAACATCTATTCATTAGATATTGCTAGCAATAGGATTGCTAACCTCTATTACTAAAAATTCCTTCCCCCCCTCCGTAACTGAATAGTAGGCAAATTTAACTGTCAAACCTTAAAATCATTTAACTAAATTTCTATTGTAGGTAGTATATTCATTTATTTTAACATCCATCGTATAAGTAGGTAGGTATTATATTTATTTATAGTATATGTATTTATGTAATATTTTATTATGTATCTTAATATTTTATTTAACTGTATATTTGTTTATTTATTAATAGTTGTAGCACTTCAGCTGCCCGCTAACGAAATGCTTTCTCACTGCATTGGGTTGACTGGAAGAGATCTCTGTCAGAGATAAGTCCACCCTTGCTCACAATATATTTTTTTTATACTACTTAGAATGGCAATCAAGCTGACGGTCCACCTGATGGAAAGTGGTAACCGTCGCCTATAGACATGAGCAGTACCATGGACATAACAGAGTATACTGTTTCGCCCTTGGAGGGGTATCCCCATGCGTTGCCATTCCTGAGGACTCAGGTGTTATTCCTCTGTAGCCAGTAAATTCACCCCATATCCCACCCTTCAAACCGAAACACAGCCATGCAAACACAACTGCTTCACGGTTAAAACACGAATGGGACAAAGGTACCCACGCAAACGATTTTTGTACAAAGTCTCCCTTTGGTAAACTGGTCACTATATTTATAAATGCATTAACAATATAATTTACAAGTGCAATAAAGAATATATATATAAATCGGAAATTTTTATTTTGGTATCTGTCAGATTAAAAATCATTAATAAGTCAAGGCAGTATCTATATTATACAGCGACATTCTATTTTTAGATATTAAAAAAAAAACATATTAAAAAATAATTGAAAATTAATTTAATGGAGTCGTTGAGTATTCTTTAATAATCGTATGTATTATTTCTTTGTCCCCGGTTTTTATCGTCACTGCCATTATAATTCAAGCCGGCACGAATAGGGCTGCCACTTTGGTTTTTATAAATATTTACTTACAATTGTTTTTTTTATCTATTATAAGTTTACTATTGAAGTAACACATTGGTCCCATAGGAATTTTGTTAAAATCAATTCTGTAGTTGTTTTTTTGATGGATGAAAATGGTATGGTAACCCCGCCTGCGCTAACGGGATACGCTGGCAGAGCACCAGTGAAGGGTGATAGATGAGAATGAAAACAGGCCAGTTGGCCCATCATGATGAATTCACAAGGCATTAACCCTGATAGTTTCCAGGGTGGAACCGCGAGGAGGTCGACCTGCTTGGGTATATTGCTAGCAATGAGATTCTCAGTCTCTATTACTAACAATCCCTTTCCTCCCTCAATTCAGTAGTTTAGTTTTTAAATCAAATAATAATACAGGATACCGGGCAGTAATGCACCGCGAGTTTCTGCGTCTTTTACCGGATCTAACCGTCTCGGAACGGTCTTATCCCAACCAGTCTCGAACAACATCTCAGACGGTTGGGATTTAGAGGCGGTTCACTTCCGGGAAAGATGCAGAAAGCGGTGCTCTTAGATTCTGCCCGCATTGTACGCCGGTTTCTCTCTCTGGGGCCCTGAACCCCGGCCGACTGTGCTTCTGCCGGGGGTTAGTTGCCATCTCCTCTCCTTAAGAGGGGAGATGAGAATTTTAGTGAAATTTAAAAAATAATAATAAACGTGTATATATTTATATTTGAACGAAGATTTAGACTATATAGTTAGTATAATATATTAAAATAACTTATTTTAACTCTTTCGAAAAGGCCACCACTTCCTTTCCCATGGGTGTCGTAAGTGGCGACTAAGGAAGGTCGAGGGATGGGTAGCAGCGTCCCTCTGAAGACTAACTGCCAACTCATCTGCCAAGCGTGGAAACTATTGGCAAAACCTCCCTTATGGAGAAGGCTTATGTCCAGCAGTGAACAGTTAACGGCTGAAATGATAACGACCAAAATAACTGGTTTTGTCACTATTAAACTCGTTTTCTTTGTGTGACACAATTTTTAATTATATAATGTTGTGATAAGTGGCAACCCTAATCGTGAGGGGCGAGTGAACGCGCCAAACAGAATGTACTAGACAATCTTTGCATACAATACGCTTTATGGGAGATTGTGGCGACCACAAAAACGACCTGTCGATAATAATGTATGGTGTATCACATTCAATAGATTTTTAACCATTTGTAAAGACAGGTTTTTTATATAATACAGGGGGTAAACGAGCATGCGGCTCACCCGATGGTAAGTGACTACCGCCGCCTGTGATTACGCACAACACCAGAGGCATTGCAGGAGGTGTGCTGCCGGAAAGATATGTGCATAACGGAATGATTTGTTAAAAAATAAAGACAAAATTTGTATTGGTAAAATGTTATTCTCAAAAACAAAAATAATTAATAAAATCGATTTAGAATTAGCGGAAACATTGTACATAAAATAAAAAGAAAGAAAGAAAGAAAGAAATAATTTAATCGTAGAAACATGCGGCCCACACAGTAGCGCACAAAACAAGAACAAAAGAAATCAAAACAAAACAAACAAAAGAAAATAATAATTGTATACAAATAGAAAGCAATTAAATTATGATAATAATCAATAACAAAACAAACAAACAAACAAACAGTAGGATAACTCTTGAATCCAACATGGATCTCAATCCAAATCTATTGCTAATGACAATTTAATACTGCACTCGTGTAAGAACAGTTAGGCATTAGCTACAATTAGGATCGGTTTACAATAGTTTGCATTGGCAAGTTGCACCAATATGCATCTATCAGAACAGTATGGAACCATTATGTCGCTAGTGACAAGTGACGCAATTCAAGAGTGTGAGTTCTCAATTCCAATATCGATCTATTTGAATTTATTTCAAGAGCGACCCTACAGGTATATACGAATGTGTACGCGTAAAATGTTTATCTTAAGGCGAGCTTAACTCTATCAGAGTTAAACTCGCCTTTGTACATTTGATTACCTCGATCATATTCTTATAACTGGTGTGTATAATAAAGAATTAAATAAATAAATATAAATATAAAAAAAATTACAATAAATGTAATCTAAAAAAATGTAAACAATTTACACTTTAAAGTTAATATAAAATACCATTTTATCTTATTGTCTTTCCACCCGTGCGAAGTCGGGGCGGACCGCCAGTTATACATATTTATGAGAAATACAATACAATGCCATCGAAATGCGTTCAGTAATTTAAATAAACTTGCAATGGACAAACAGACAAAATAATCTGTCAATTTTATAACAACAGCGACGTACAGACATGTGCCGGCGCACACTGAATGCATTACAACACTCGAACAATGCATAGCACCGATAGTGCAAGGCCGAAGGGCGATGCCACTCGCTCGACGCTGCGGCTTCTTGGTCACAACGTTATAGTTAATGAAAAAAAAATCCCTAAATTGTTACATTTATATATATATATATATATATATATATATATGTGTATATATACATATATATATATATATGTATGTATATATATATACATATATATATATGTATATATATATATATATATATATACATACATATATATACAATTGGTTACATGTATATATACATATATATATATATATATATATATATATATATATATATATATATATATATATATATATATATATATATATATATATACATACACATATAGATAAATAAATATATGAATGTTCATAAAAATAGAAGATGCTCTTTAAGTCTACTCTTTAAAATATTTAGAGATTGACTCGCACGAATTACAAAAAATCTTCGCTTTGAAAGTTCAAAATAATTTATGTGCACGAAAAATTACGACTATCAGATAAAATATTAGATAGTAATCGTAATAAGAACAATCGGAAATAATTGGTGAAACCTGAAACAATAGTATTTCATAACATTAAAATTGCTTGGGCGCATTGAGCTTGTTACCATTCATTCACAATCAAGTCACAATTAAGTTAAGATTCATTGACAATCATTGCGAATGGAGGGGGGAAGGGATTGTTAGTAATGGAGACTGAGACTCCCATTGCTAGCAATATACCCAACCAGGTCGACCTCCTCGCAGTTCCCTCTGGAAACTACCATGGTTAATTCTTTATGAATTCATCATGATAGGCTAACTGGCCTGTTTTCATTCTCATCTATCACCCTTCACTGGTGCCCCGCCAGCGTATCCCGTTAGCGCAGGCGGGGATACCATACCATTTTCATCGAGCAAAAAAAATCATTGTGAATGTCGTGGCCTAGATCTGAGGGCCTACCATGAAATGTTTTCCGAAAAATCGGAGCCGTACGA